CAGCTCCATAAGTTTATTTTGTGGCTTGCTGCTTGCTGCTGTGGTTGCCCTTGGGCACCCGCTTGCGGCTCACCGCCCATGAGCACTCGCTTGTGGCTCTAACATTTACCATATGTGGTTCTTCTAATGAGCATGTCTGGCCATCCTGATATATACTGAGGGACAAGACCTTTTAAGATTATCTGCTGCCTATGTAGATACTTTACTTCCCCAGAATCTTTAAAAGATGAAGGTTGTTAAGAGGTGGTTGTCTTGCTAAAAAAACAACCAAAGATCCAATTCAGAAGTTTTGTGCCTGAAAGTTGCAGATTTGATTGAAGGCACAATTTAATTTTGAGATAGAATAATAGGTTTGTATAACAGGAGTAAAGCAAGATTGAAGTGTTTCATTGATACATTAGTTAAATTAATCTAGGGACTGAAAGATTTCAGGCTGGTGAGATTTTTTCTTTGTTTATTGCAATCATTAAGTCTACCAGTTGAAGCCATTTACAAAGTAGTGGCTTGCAAGGGACTGTTGCACACCCAGAATTAAAGAACATGAAAAAGTTGAGCACATGCTGAACCCAGAATTGAGCTTTCCTTTAATGGAAAAATCTGTGTGTGTCTCTTCTCCCAATCTTCTATAATTTCAGCAGCCTAATTTAAGAAAGAAGCTTAAAAAGTGTTGATATTCTTAAACAGTTGGGGGTCAGAATGTCTTGTTGATCGTCTATAAATTGCTCAAAGATCTATCAGTAGTCTTAGATCTACCTCCTATCTGCTCCTGGATTAACTGATATAAAAACTTTGAATAAGCTAAGGGTGCAATCCTATGTAGTTTTTGAAAAAAATCTGCAATTGCCAACCTTTGCCAGACAGCATTTATCAGGCAACTGTGTGCTTGCATTTGTACGTGTATAAATATGTGCACATGTTTAAAACTATTTTTTAAAAATGGATGGCAAGCACCCCTTAAAAGAAGGAATGTTTCTCCTGAAAGTTTCTTATTTCAGAAATACCGAGTTTACTCATACGTAAATTTGATAATTAACTAAAACTCATGATTATTTCACTAAAAATAGGTTGCATTTCTAGAGGAAATCAACTCTAGGGAGATACTCATTCCTGACTGCTTCTAGAAATCCTCCCAGAATCAGTCCAGTTACAGAAAGAGACAATAGAAACTTCCACAGTTGATAAGCAACAACAAAATTCTATGTATTAACAGATATGGAAATACATAGTAATAGAGTATTTCCAGGTAAGATTCATGCTACACATGAATTTCAAGAGACAGTTATATACATTTAAATGATTCTAATAACCATTCCTATCATAGTTAAATGTATTGAACTACATTTAAATTGAATTTCTAGAATTTTAGTCACAATCTAAGTAAATATAGACAGAAAAAGGCCTCCAACTCCCAGCATGAATCAGTCTCAAGCATTGTTGTATATTGTACTGAAAAATTAAAGCACAATATCTGATGCTTTGCTGAACAATGAACCAAGTAGAAAAGTATATTTTATTGATCATTAAAAACAATTTAGATATTTTAATCAATTAGGAAAAAGCTCACAGAAAAATTTATCTTACTGTATACACTGAACGTAATAAATACCTGGCTTAGTTAGACAAGACAAGTTAAATAAACTAGGCAAGATACCATTCACACAATTACTGAATGAGGTACACAGTCCTGTGGCTGCTGTTCAGATGGCCCTAAAAATAAATGAGAGCCCCGTCTCTGGCATCAGGAAAGTGCTCCAAGGCCAGAGCTAGGACTCAACATTTGAGTGCTCTCCCTCTCTCCTCACAGCTGGTGTTTTTCTGTGCTGTCCATGACTGCAAAGACTCTGGAGCAGACATCAGGGGGGCAATTGGAGGGCAGGGAGGGGAAGAATGAGGCTCTGGCAGGAATCCAGGACGTGCTTCAGACCTTCATCCTGACTAGCAGGGGTTAATCACTCAGATGGTCAAAATCAGCTGCAAAGAGTTATAGGCAGCCCCATTGGATGGTGCTTTACTGTCTATTAAAATTAAAGCATGGTATAGGAGTCTTGCTCTGCATTAGAATCAGTAGAAATGTTAAATGTGCCATTCCCTATGGTCCTCATTCAGTCTTGAAGCTCCATGCATTGAAAGGAAATCTGCCATCCACATAATTGCAGTTTATTTATTTAAAACAACACAATAAAACGGCAATAAATAACAATTAACCAAAAAATACAATTAAATAAGTTAAATAAAAGTGACTGTTAAACATTACAATTTTAAATTAGTTTTTAAAATAACAGTTAAATAAAAAGTGTTTAACCTGGCGCTGAAACTAATATAAACTCGGCGCCAGGCACACCTCTCCAGGGAGCGCATTCCATAATCTGGGCGCCACCACAGAGAAGGCCCTCCTCCAAGTGGATATCCTTTTTACCTCCTTCAGGGAGGGTTCTCGGAGCAGGGCCTCTCCCACGGATCTTAAAGGGTGTGAGGGCACATAAGGAAGGAGACGTTCCTTCAGGTATCCCGGTCCCAAGCCGTTCAGGGCTTTATAGGTCAAAACCAGCATCTTGAATTGGGCCCGGATTTCAAGTGAAAGCCAGTGGAGCTGATAGAGAACCGGCGTTATATAAGAATAACGACTGGTCCCTGTTAGCAACCTGGCTGCTCTGTTCTGTACCAGCTGAAGTATCCGGATCATTTTCAACAGCAGCCCCACTTAGAGCACGTTAAATCCATCCAGGAGGTTACCAGAGCATAAATCACTGTGCTAGGCAGTGTTTGTCCAGGTAAGGACGCAGCTGATGGACCATCCAAAGCTGTAGGAAAGCACTCCTCACTACCACTGCTACCTGGGTTTGCAGTGACATCTCCAGGTCGATGAGTACTCTGAAGCTGTGGACCCTGTCCTTTAGAAGGAGTGCTACCCCATCCAGGACAAGGTCAAAATCACTTACCTGAAATATCGGTCCGCCCACCAACAGGACTTCCGTCTTACCTGGATTGAGGCTCAGTTTATTGGCCCTCATCCAGCCCATTACCTCAGCCAGGCACCGGTTCAGTACATCCACTGCCTCACTGTAGATGTAAACAAGAGGTAGAGCTGGGTGTCATCAGCATACTGATGATTCCACAGCCCAAAACTCCTGATGACCTCTCCCAGCGGTTTCATGTAGGTATTAATTAGCAAGGGGAACAAAATAGAGTACTGTGGAACCCCATGGCAAAGCTACTGTGGTGCAGAGCTATAGTCCCCCAGCACCACCTTCTGGAACCGACTGGCCAGGTAGAAGTGAAACCACTGCCATGCAGAGCCTTCAACTCCTAACCCAGCCAGTCTATCTTGAAGGATGCCATGATCAATAGTATCGAAAGCCTCTGAGAGGTCCAGGAGAAGCAACAGGGATGCACTCCCACTGTTCCTCTCCCTGCACAGGCCATCGTACAGGGCGGCCAAGACAGATTCAGTACCATAACCGGGTCTGAAGCCAGACTGAAATGGTCCCAGATAATCCATTTCATCCAGGAGTGCTTGGATTTGTCCCGCCACCACCTACTCTAATACCTTGCACAAAAATGGGATGTTGGCCACCAGTCTAAAATTGACTGTCATCTCTGGGTCCAGAGATGCTTTCTTCAGGATAGGCCAGATCACTACCTCCTTCAAGGGTACAGGGACCTGGCCTTCCCTCAGCGGGGCATTGATAATCTCCCAGACCCAGGGACCAATCCCATGACTGGCTTCTTTAAGTAGCCAGGAGGGGCAAGGGGCAAGAAGACAGGTGGTAGGAACAGTAGGAATGTCCCTTGGATTTGAATCAAGAGTGTGGAGATAGGAAGTAAGGTCCCTTGTTGCCCATGACCTGACTCTCACACTTATTTCCTTTTAAACATAAATCACACAATTGCTTATTACATGACCACCCTTTCATTTAGGTTAGCCTTTAGATGGAAGATAGTTATTACTTGTTTCCACAGATGGTAGTTCTGTGGAATTCATAATTTCACAAACAATTTGTTGACCCAGTTAAAATGTTAATTTCACTTATATATTTCTTGTTCAGATTAATGCATTGCAATATTAAAGCATTATTTTACACAAAATTACATCAAACATGTCTTGGACTGACTTTGTAAGCTCATTTCAACATTTTATCTATAAAAGGTGCTAAGAAAGGAAAACCATACTGTATTTCTGCCTAATTTATTCTTAAATAGAAGGGGACACATATTTTTCTTTAAAGCCATATGCCTTTGTCATTTGCTTGATTGTTCGGTACACTTACATTTTCTCAGTGAGCAATGAGTTGCCCGGCCATCCTTGGCTGTTTAAAATTTGTTATATTGAATTGAACAGTGCTCCATGAATTTACACTATGTATTAGTTTCAATATATATAGCTCAAGGAATTGGTGGTCCAAATTCTGAAGTCAAATCTTTTTGACTATGCATCCTATCCTATCTTGCCTTTTTTTCTACTTTATTTCTATGCAACCCACCCCCATGTTTAACAAGTTCTATTAGAACAATTTGTCTCTAAAATTCAAAGATCCATTAAAAAGCATGTTTTGCAGTGATTGCTATAATTTCCAACAGCACTGACCTCCAATGGAACTGGAAACTCTGATCTAACAGTTTTCACATAATACCAAGTTACTGACTTCAGTTGACGTAAAACTATTTTCTCACATTTTGATGCACCAAGCACTTTGTCAGCTTTTATCCTCACAAAATCTTTGTGTGACAGGTTATTGTTAATGAGGAGTCCAAAAATGATTCTGAGTGTGAACAGAGATGTAATTCAGTTATGGGAGACACCTCTGCTTGAAGAATCAGATACAGCCTTTTTTAGGTCAATAAAACAAATTTACATCTGACTATATTTCCCTGGTTTAAAAGCATAGTGACAGAGTGCGTAAATAGGTTTAGAATACAAACAAAAAAGTGACTGATATTTTTGTATACTTCTCCTTTCCACACTAGTTAATTCCATTTCTTTTCTTTCTTTCTGGTTTTAGTGGGAACTGCAGCCCCAGATCAGGTAACACATAAACTACATAAAGTGTTGCATTTATGTAAAACTGGCACGAGCTTGAGATCTTTGGGATTTATATGAAATTGTGCGGGGGGGATAGTTAATTTTTAAAGCTATACTAATTGAAACTCACTGGTTAAAACTCACTGGTTAATATCCATAATGGTGAATATACTTTGGAATTCCATTTCTTTTAATATACAAAAGTTATTTTTATCAAAGAAAACTTGTTTTCACATTTCATTGCCTCAAGTTGAGTATTCCTATTCAGCACAGCTCTTCCCATATATGTTCAGTGGTTAACAAAAGCCCTAATTTAACTGAAAAATTAAAATCTATTCTTAGGACACAATAAGAACCAAATTCTAAGATGCAAAAGTAAGAAGTTTCTATCCTGTCAGTGGCCATCGGGTAATAAAAGTCACATAAATAACTGGTTAATCAGAACATTTTAATATTTATGAATTCTGATATAAAACACATGTTTGAAATATGCAGTTTTTACAGAGATTTTAATTTTTTTACATCTTCATAAGGCAAATTAAAGTACACTTGTTGGTTTTGGATGGAAGAAGTTGTTCCATCTTGTACTTCTTTACTTTTGCCATAGCAGTACATGAGAACATAAAAGCCCTGCTGGTCTGTCTAGTCTAGCACCATGTTCCAATAGAGGCCAGATGACACTAAGGATATGCAAAAATTTCATTTGCAGGGTGAAAATGTGATGAACTTCCAAACTCAGCTGTCAGAATTTCATTCCATTTCCCCCATGCTGGTGCCAAGTCAGTCTGACAAGAGTTGAGCTAGAACATGGATTTCCACTTTTAAATTAACTTGTGTGATTTGCACAAGTTTATTTTTTTATTTCTAAAATACAGGATATTCACAGTACTTGCAGAAACTGAAATTCATGAGCGGAGTTGTATTGATTTTAGCTTCTCATAAACTTGTCATGATTTGATCTGGCTGCCTTGCTACCAGAACCTTCCTTCAAAAAACACAGTTATGTAGCCATAAACAGGTAAAGTGTTCCCGAAATAAATGAGTTCCCAAAATGTTCCCAAAATAAATATATATTATTAGTGGGAAAAACAAAGAATGCATAAGACACTAAAGAAGCCCTACTTGTAAAAACCATGCAAGCTGAAAAAATGACTAAAAATAATCATGGATCTGTTCACATAATAGTGTTTCCCATCACCAGATTTGAAATGCTTTAAAGTCCATCAAGCTCAAACATTTCCCAGTGTCACACATTTCTAGATGATTAACATATTTGTTTAAGTAATGTGCACAAATCATATATTTGTAGCAGAAAACTACAGTGCAAGATAAAATGGATAACTTCTTTGTGAAGTAGGAAATATGGCCAACTAGTGATGAATAATGAGAGGGTGAAACGGAAAAGGATATGTACCAAGGAAACGTACAGTGCTTGGCATTACATAGAGTCCTGACTGGAACAAAATATTAACTACAGTGGGAGAGTGCTGGTTGATCACTGCATAAAACAAATGTTGGACTAGTTGGCCCCTTGGGCTTATGTGCTTATGACTCCCCACTACTACCATTAAGAAAAAGATTAGAAAAATTCATGACACTTTAATGGTGTTCTCCCTGCCTCTTAGTTGTTTGATTTCTAAGCAAAAAAAAAAAAAAAAAAATGCTCAGAACCTTTTCTCATAAGGCTTGCTCCCCAAACTTTGACCATTGTTGCCATTACTGCAGATTTTCCGACTAATACACTTTCAGTTACAGGAAAGGCAATCAAAACTCAACGTGGAATTCCAAATATAGCTGCAGCTTTACATACAAAGCAGGATAGCTTTGTGTTTCTGATTTTATATTTTTCAAATCTTCAGGGAGCAATCCTATCAGGGTATCTATAACCCCTGATCTTAGAGGCTTGTGAGAATCCCATGCAGAACAAAAGGAACAGCAAATGTGATTTTCACCTTACTGTCCAAACCAATACAAACACTGGCGAAATAGCAATAGGATAGCTGCATTTTTGTACGGGAAATACAAATTAGGTTTGCATTACAATACAAACCAAATTTGTTTGTACCTCATGCCTAGTACACAGCATTCTAAATGTAATACATCATCTATTTATATTTTTATACTAATACTTTGATTTTCAATCCCTTTCTTAACAATTACTTAAATGGATTGCTTTAGCCTATTTATAATGGCATTCTAAGTTTAGTATGGTAAATTGCCTGAATATGTCATTGACAGGTAACATGAAATATTTTAATATAAATACAGAAAGATTATATAATTTGCTTTTTAGTTTCTGTTGCCTTCTGAGTTGATATTTTCAGTGAGCTTTGCACCATGACCCCTGTTACTTAATCCTGTACTTAATAGTGTTAATTTTTTTACTCATTAGCAGAGGGTTTTGTTTTTTTTTTTTTTTAATGGGTGGCGCATATTACCAAGGTCTGGAATAGAAGTAATGTTTGTGATTGTGGAGGCCATGATCATGATCATGGATCATGTGCTTTTCTCCTTTCCCTTTTCAGGATGCAGCCATGATAGACTAACAAACCATGATCTATTTGAGAGTTCACTATATTAACATGAACATTAGAACATACAAATCTATCCTCAAAAGGAAGAAAGAGGAGAATTTGCACACAAGGAAAGAGAAAGAGCATATGATTTTGGCATGCTGTCATCTAATGTATAAACCTGGGAAAATTACATATAACCAGGCCTAAGTGAAATACATTGTCCTGCAATGGGAGATGCTATTAATTCTATTTTACCATACATACCTCTTTTCCATGGTTTCCCTCTTCTAAACCTAGCATTGACTTTTATGTTCAAAGCCTCTTTTTGGTAAAAGTATGATGGTTTTTTAACCTAATTTTTTTTTTGCCAGAATGGCATAAACCTTCCCTCCACATTAATACAAATAAATAAGTCCCAGGAACTCAGAGGCACAATGGGAATCTTTATGGTGTGTGTTCCTCATACTTCTGGCATTGCTGTTTCATCCTGTTTGGGTGATTTTTTAGTCAGTTGTGACAAGACTTCCTGACCTGGAGTTGGGCAGTGTCAGCAAGCGGTAACATGATTCATGAGCTATATTGTATAGTTCTCCCTAATATACCAAGGCTTTGCATCTTGCTTCCTGCACCAGCACCTGAACAGAGCGTGGCATCACTTCAGCACATTAAAACACTTGTGTGGAACTTCTCTTTGGTATGCATGCTCTTTAAGAATGCCTATTGTCAAAGTCCAGAAAAATGTCCCCCAAGCAACATTTTAGTTTGTATACATCTCTTTTCGGTAATTTTGTATGCCCTTTAGCTATACATTCAATATAATGCCCAACAGTATTAAAATATTACATAACATATACATAAAACCCATGATTAAAAGTTTACTCCAGAATTTTACATGATTTTAATAAGAAAAGTAGGTAACTAGCATGTCTCAATAAAGGAAAAGAGATAACAGTAGGAAATACCACTTCTTATAATAAAAAGAATGCATTTTTATTTAATCTGACTTGCAGCCAAATGCATAGCAACATCTGAAAGTGGATAGAATTGTATAATAGTATCATACAATAAATATTGTGCATACAATATCCATTTTTAATCTTTTCTCTTTGCCATACTCTTTACAACCAAAACAGTTGTTTTGCTCTTAGAATCAACACTCAGAACTATGTAAATAGGGTACATGTCCATTTAAACTCAGTGTCCATTTAATTCTGCAGGACAAACAAACAGATTGCATCTTGGGATGTAGTTGGTAGGAGCCAGTACAGTTTAATTCCATACAGTATGCTCATGCTGTAGTTTGGGAATTACATATAGTTCATGAACTAATCAGTACTCTCTTTAATTGCTCAAATGTCAATGGATGGCTGCCACTTACTAAGTGGAATAAAAGGAAAGGGACCCATAGACTAGTACCCATGACAGCCAATACTTCTTTACGTACATTGTGGAACCCTCCAGAGGTCTCTTACAAAAGTACTTTTCCTACATAATTGCATTCCCAATCATAATAACCAGCTACTTTAAAGTCATAGATAGCAGCTAAATCTTTTTTAATTTTTTACTGTAAGTATAGTGCCTCCAATTTGGATTGGGACCCTTCCGTGAAAGTAATAGGGTTTAATCCTCTTCCTCCTACAGGCTTGATCTACATCATGCTTCCTGCACCTGTAGTTTATACTGCAAAATAGGAGATGGTTGATACAATTTGTTTCCCCTGCCCTCTCTCAGGTCTTCCTTCACATTCTGAGTAATACCTTATCTTCCTTTCTCTACTCTGCACTACACACACTATTTCTTTGACCGCATCTCTTTTCCTACCAGCATGAAGAGAAATCAAGAATAGAGCACATGTTTACACAAGCATTACTTTTCATATTGTGAATTTCCCTAATTGTCTTGTTAACTAGATTTAATTCCCAAACTAAAACTGTCTGCCCTTGATCTATAAACATACAGTTACAGAAATCAGTCATATACACAGTTATAAAATATAGTTGCCAGTAGTTCAAGCAGGAATTAATCCATACAACTTTGTGAAGGATTGCAACCAAAGGGAGCATTCAATATACTGTGAAGTCTCATAGATTGTAGTGTTCTTAAATTCACCAAACATCCATATTATATCTATAATGTATAGTTACATTGTGTGTGTGTTTCTGTGTGTATCACACATAGACACACACATTCACATTGTGTGCATGACTACTGACATCTTGATAAGAGGTGTTCTTGTATCCCAGTGTGCTTAAATCAGAAGTGCCTGTGAGAAGATAAGTTCTTAAATCACAAGTCTGCAGATAATGTGTGTGTGCATACACACTCAGTATATGTCAACAGAAGCTTTACCTTTGCATAATACATTGGAATGAAATCCATTGTTCACAAGGGCTGCTGCTGAATAGAAAAAGAACAAAGCAATAATATTTAATTGTTCTTATTTTAAATTTGTATCCATTCATGTTCACTGTTAATATGTGAAACAATACTTTTTCAAAGTAGAACTTCCCCACAAAATTAGGGAATCTTCAGTTAAAATTACATAATCATCCATTTAATTTTTAACCATTCTTTTAGGAATTAGTTTCACTTGATGACCGAGAAAAACCTATAGTACAGCCTGGTCAACCTCAACTTTCTCCTGGGATTTCAACTATTAACCTGCATCCACAATTTCCAGGTAGCTCTTTTGGACTCCTCCAGCAGTAGATGAAAGCCCTTACAGACCAGGAATGGAAAAATTCCTTGTGGGGGTCTATATTTCTTTTCGTGTTTAAATTTTCTAATTTACTGATTAGAAGCTCTGGATTTTAATCTTAAAGCTTAATCCAGAATTTTTCAATTCCTTGAAATGATCCTTACATGAATATTCCTTTTGAAGTCCACTTGACAACCTGTGCAACGCTCCATGGAAATGTCAAGAAATTCCAATACAGTTAATACTCAGGAGCATTTCATGGCTTTGTGCACTTCCTTTCAGTTGTTCTTTACCTTATGAATTACCCCTCCCTTACCCAGTTGATGTTAACTATAATGCATAATTTAATCTGCAGTGATTAAAAGCATGATTAGCTATTAAACCAGAAGAATAACCTGGACTGCAAATTCCACTTCAATTACTGTATTGCCTGACTTGTTTGAACCTGTGGTTAGCTTTGAATACAGAATTGGAATCTATTTCACAAACCCTAGTTGTAGCTTTAAAAATACCAGTAATAATGTGTAGTTAACTGTATCTAATGCAGGTGCAGACAGAATGCTACTTTGTACTGGAGTAATTATGAATAGGCAGTCCGTTAAGCTAGTGAAGAAAGAGATGAGATATTAAAACTCCATCTTTCTTTCTGGGCTTTCCTCCCAGCAGAGCAACCAGAGCAACCAAAGGACTTGCAAATGTGCCTTTGAGTATAATAGTGCTGTTGCTGCATGTCAGGATCCATCTATGCAGCCATCTGTGATTTGATTACAAATGAGGATATTGATTTGCTTACATTGCAGAGATCTGGTCAGACGATTCAGAAGTTGATCTCTTTACTGTTATCTTTAGAACTCTATCCTGGTATAGCACCAATGCAGTGTTATGACCTTGGAGCATTTTTTGTTTTGTTGTGAGTGAAAGATTGGAAATATTATTTGTTTACAGTCATCTATAAGTTGTGCTGGGGATGCAGGTGGCCCTGTGGTTTAAAGTGCTGTGCTGCTGGGCTGGTGATCAAAAGGTCGCTAGTTCAAATCTGCACAATGGGGTGAATTCCCATTGCTCCATCCCAGCTCCTGCCAACCTTGCAGTTCGAAAGCATGCAAATGCAAGTATATAAAAAGGTACCATTTCAGTGGGAAGGTAACAGTGTTCCGTGCACTTCGGTGTTTTGTCATGCTGGCCACATGACCGCAGAGACTGTCTGCCGGCAAACACTGGCTCCCTCGGCTAGGAAACAGAGATGAGCACCGCCCCCTAGAGTCAGGCATGACTGGACTTAATGTCAAGGGGAAACCTTTACCTTTTATAAGTTGTTGCCCTCACTTGCCTGGACAGTTGAGTGCCCATGTTGAGTGTTTCTACCAGTATTTCTCCCTACCATCCCATTGCCCATCTTGTTTCATCTGAAGAAGCTCTTCTTTGTTCTCATGCTGTCTTAGATGTCTATCCAAGGGAGTTCAATTTCCATGCTTAGGCTACATTGTCTGGGTGCCATGAAAATTATTAAACTACTGACTCAGCTCAGCACATGTGACAGAGTTACCCATTTGATTTGCTGTTTTCAACACAAGGACAGCAATATCACAATGAAGGATTTCTTTTTGATTTCATCATCATGGTCAGATCTTTCTGAGCAGGTTTAGACTTACAAAAATAGTTCCCTCTACATGGCTGGTGAACCTATTAGAAAGATTAGTGGAATCTGAAGGATTTCTCAGAGACTTTGGCAATCTTCTAGTTGACATGAGTGTTGCTTATTTCATACTCAAGTTCTTAATGCAGCTAATCTCTGTCTTCCTGCTTAGCAGAGCCTATTCATCTCCTTGGTTTACCAGGAAGATGGTGGGATTGGGGCAGTTAAGGGAATTGAAACAAGGGGCAAATAACTCAGTGTGAATCTGATCAAATACAGGTAAGGGTTACTTCAAGCAAATTCTGTGAGAGTGGCATGGAAAAAAATATTTTTTTCACCCACTATCCTGTCCACAAAATCTCATTCATTGGAGCTTCTTTGTGATCTCTGGTCTTCAACCTAGCTTCCAAAATAATACAAGGAAGTGCCATGGCCAACTACCTATTAATGCTTGTTGGTTGTACAGGTGCAGGGGCAGAATCCTTCTCTGGAATGTAGCACATAAGAAGGCGAAGCTTATCTCTTCATTCTCACACAGTCAAAACAAAAATTCTGTTTGGCACAAATGGGAATGTTTTCTCCAAGTACCCTAGTCCTTCAGGTTGAAGGTGTTATTTTCCTAACTGCATTCCTAGTAAAGAGCCTTACCCATTGATGTGTAGTTAGTTAAAGCAGGAACCAGACTGCTCCTGCAAGAAAGACAGAGGACGAGCAGATGAGATAAACTAAACCAAAAAGTTGTGAGCTACATATTAAGTGAATATTTAGTTTGGTGCTCACTGGTGGTCCACAGTATCTTATTTACTACATGCTTTGAGCATAAAGACATTCATAGCCGTCTTAACTTGGATGCCATAAGGATACCACATTTCCTGATTTGTTAGAATTTCAGTTGTTGTAGCTAAGGATATATTAAAGGTGCTTTGTGGAGTACTTCATCACATCTGCTCATCCTTTGGCTTTCCTGGCATTGAACAGCTAGTGGAGCAGATTGGGTCGAGAAAAATTTAATGCCTCCTTGCAATAAAATGCAGTTGTAAGTATTACTTAAGCAAATGATTGCTGGACTATTAGTAGTTTTCTTAACTGGTCAGTATAACATTGGTCAAGTTTCCTGCATGGATGATTGCTGTAGAACTCTAGGAACATTTGGATTGCTCTGGCTATCTGGATCTCTTTTGGTGTGGCTTCAGGTCCACATTTCTTTGTTAATTCCTGATATATGACCTAAGCCAGAAAAAGAATAAGGGAGGTAACACTAAAATCTCTTAGTTAATTTTTATACCATTGACTGTTTCCCATGGAATTTACTATCAGCATTAGATGGTCAGATAACCTGACCTTAGTTACATATGCACCGGTGATCTCCAAACTTCATTAAGCATTATATGTGAGGCTGTTTTCAGTAATTTTCAAAGGCATACCCATGTAAGATGCATTTTGAAATATTTATTAAGCCTATCTATCCTGAGACCTCAGTAGCCAAAGGACTGATTTTTCCTACATACACCTCTTTGTGCATTGAGCTCAGCTTTGGACATTCTTCTTCAGTGTGTGTTCATCTACTAAAGTTAGGTTGCTGAAAGGGCCTTTTCAGTAGTGACTTTTCAGTAGAATGCTTTTTCCAGGAAGTTCACACCTACTCATATGCCAGGCAATGAATGACCTTTCTATTTTCCAAGACACTTTTAAACATAGTGTGAATTTGGTTTTGCTCTGCTTTTGGGGTGCCTGTGTGCATTTATTTCTGTATTTGTTGTTTATTTTTTTATAAAAATGTTACTGTAATATGCTGTTGTAAAGCTCTATCACCAGTTTAATGGTTTTTAACAATTTGTGAGAATATTTTTCTGAAGGGGTTGTTCTGATTTTTTTAAATATAAATAAATAGTTAATTTTAACTAAGGAAGAGAGGAGGAATTTGCACTTGTAAGGGGAGGGGGAAGAGTGCACAATCCCACGTCATGCTCCTGATCTCCTGACCATGGTTACATCTATACAATTTATATCTGCTAATGTTATGGCTACATCGAGCCCAAGAAGGGAAATGTCCATACAAATGTTTTTCCTAAAAGGTGTACAGTGCAACCTGGCAAAGAATTACCTGCTTAGCCCATGAACAGTACTTTAAAAATCAACAACTTTGAAACTTTATTAATCTCAGTGTCCTAATTTATGTTAAAGAATAAGTAATGCATTTTTCCCCTGGTTTGTTACATGCTAACACTACACTTTGACTTCTGTAGTAGATCAAACAATAAACATAGTTGGTAGATTGTATATATAAAGTGAAACCACATGATTACTCTTATTTATCTTGCACTCTCTGATGGTTCTGTTCAAGTTATCATTCAGCATGTATGCTGTGTAACATAGAAAGCACCCTCCTAGGAGCAGATAAATAGCTATGTGCCTTTACTCAGTTCATTTTTCCCCCATTCAAGGAAATCCTTTCCAAGTGGGAGTAGAAAGAAGATAGGAAAAAGATATATGTTGAGAGGTAGTAGGTCCAGTGTTCATGTCATTTGCCTATAGAGTTCAGTGAATTTTGAATCATAGCTGTAGAATTGCTGATGAATCCACTGAACTCAATGTAGGTTGTGCAGCAGCTGTGCCTGGTTGATTATTTCTATGCAAGAGCAGGCAGTACGGAAGTGTAATTACTAATATTAAAAGAAATAGATTAAATTGAAGTCGTTAATGACTTGAAAGTCCACGTGGAATGTTTTCATCTCCCCAGATGTGGTGGATGCCTACTTAGGTACCCAAATATGAACTGAAGAGGGGAGGAATTAGCAAAAGTTGACATCTAAATTCCATGTGGATTTCAAATGTCTTTTCGAGTGATGTGTAGGCAATGAAGTTGCTTCATTTGTTTTGTGCCTTTCAGGAATTCTTGGATGTATTCCAGAAAAACAAAGGGGTTAAATTGCTATTAAATATTAAGAATTGGGACAGATTGCCTTGGGACTATTTCATATAGCTCTTGTAATACCATTTGTTCCACATTTGGCATGACTATAACATTTGAAAAGATTAAACATCTTTGTTTTTTCTAAGAACATGAGTACTAGGGATATGTTTTGCTGCATAGCCAGTAGCAATTAGAAGAAGATGTACAGTGCTTTAATATTATACTTTTAGAAGGGTTATGATTTTAGAATGGGGGTCTACAACATGTACTAGTTAGAAACATAGTATGTGAGGTGGTCCTTGCTAGTTTTCTTTTGATTCAGTAAACCATGCATGTATTTTAAAATACGCCTTCTTCATTCTCATATATACATTGTTTTATGCTTTTTCACACAGTAGTAGTTGAAAAAACTTCTCCTCCCGTGCCTGTTGAAGTTGGCCCAGATGTCTCTACTTCAAGCGCTAGTCAAGTAATAGCACCAACTCAAGTTACAGGTATGAAGCATGCTTTCCATGCAAAAATTGCTGGAGGTACAAAATGAATATTCCCAACCAAATGAATGCCATTAGAGTATCAAAAAGAAAAAGCAGAGCAGCTGAGAACAAGGAAATACTGAATCAGAACAGTGCAGCTTATGAGGACAGAAAGTAAAATGGTTTATATTCAGAACATCTGCATATATGGCCAGGATGCAGTTTGCAGTTGTCTTATTCCAAACTGTCGTATTTGAATAGAAGTCTGCCCTCCTGCTTTCTGTATTTTTTCTGTCCTTCAGCAAGTTAGAATGAATCTAATGAGTAATGCAGCATGAATCAGCTTTAGTTTTTCTATATGTATGTGAGGGCAGTTTCAGAACCTACTCTACATAGTGATGCATATCTGTATGCACAGCTTAACATGCCTCATCAAAGCAACTGTTTGTTGGTGGAATATCAGTGACATATTGCCATAAATTGTGCATGTAGTAGGCAGATCCCTTCCACAAGTATAGGAAAAGACACAGAAGAGACATGAAAAATGAATGTGTAAATTTACGCTAATCCCATCATGAGATTTTGAGAAAACCTATTGATTTCTAATGGTACCTAATAAGGCCATTCCAAAGGAAACAATGTGAGGATTTGCTTCTACAATGCGATATGGAATGTATTTATGAAACTCACTCTTTAAAACAATGGAGCACTGATTAATAGGTATGTGCATTATAGCAATCTCAGTTTTGGGTGCAGTTTTCACCAGTGTATTTCACCAGTGATTGCCTTCGTTCTTGCATAATTACTTATAGGTCACGTGCTTATGTTCCATCACAGTCTGTCTGGTGAACTTAAGAGGGTCTTTTTCTCTATCCTCAATACAGACATTTTGATCAGTGAGAACCTATAAAAGGGCTTTTTTGATCATTGCTTTCCAGGTATAGAATTATTTTCTTCCAAAAGTCTGTGTAATTCCAAGTATCTTCCAGAACTGATCTTACACTTCCTCATTTGGGTAAGGACACAATGGCCAAGAGTGAGCTAGAAGTTCATTTACTGAAAATGTACTTCTAAAAGTTTCTTTTTTATTTTAATGTTTTAATTATTTACTTCAAAATTCTGTTAACTGTTAAGAGATTTGAAGAGCGAAAAACATTAACAGTTATCTTGGTGTAATGCACTGCAAAGCTAATGACTTTTATTCTAATCTGAATGGAAAGATGCCTGATTCATGGATGCTGGAGAACCTCTGATTATGACCAAGTTTAAGACAACATCATGCATTGCATTTTTAGTGGTGCTAATTTAGAAACTTGCATTGTACTGAAGTGGTTAGCTACGTAAATGTTTGAATTGAGACACCATGTATGCCAGTCCACAAGTTCTCTTGATCACTTAGCCACATTTAAGCAAATTAGGAGTAGACAGTGGGATCACACACAACTTGCCTCCAGTTCTTTTTCTCTCATGTTCTCTCTAGCATAGATTTCCCCTGACTGTTTCTCACTGGTCTTAACCACAGTTAAGTGTTATATTGGTCCCAACATCAACCATGGCTAATATTAACCAATGTTCTCTTTTAATCAGAATTCGAAACTAGCATGTGACTGTTGCTATTCTATCCTCATCCTCCTACTTAACTATGAAATTCATTGAGTAATCTATTTCAGTAGCTTGCACATCAGTATTAAAGATTCCCTTAAAGCTACATTTTGTATGATGTCTTTTAAGCCTGTAAACTTGATCAATAGTTTTAGTCCTTTTGCAGAACTTCCTTAATGATGATTCTAAATATAATTTTATTTTTTATTTTAATTGGGATAATCTTCTTCAGAATCAGATACATATGGAATTTTAAAAACATTGCCACCTCTGAAAACAACTACATAGTCAATATACCAATTATTAATTCCTCTATATTGCTTTTATGAGTAGTAGTATTTTTCTGTTTTTTTGCTTATCTGGTTTTATTGGTAGAGGGGCAGTTCACAAAGATTGATTGATTGATGGACATCCTTTGTTGTCAGAACTAGGAGAAGGGCAATTTCACTTGTCCTCTAAGTTCCTTCAAAATCTGCTTCAGCTTTTGGTGGACCTTCCAAAGCAGATTTTGGTGAAGCTCTGGGAGGTGCAGAGAGGAAAAAGTCCTGTTGTGGAGGGGGTCATATAGTCTGTCCTTTGTCTGCAATTTCTAAGAAATAACTTACATGCTGGATGATTTACAGCCTTGTCATTCTGTATTTATGTGCCGCAAACGTAATATATCAAGCTTTCCACCCTTTTAAAATTATTGCGCACAGTTGTTTCTTATGAACATTGTACACTGCAGGCATCTATTATTTCCCATGTGTCTATAGTGTAGCAATGTATTAATGTCTCTTCTCCAGAGCATCTGTGAAGAAAATTCTGATCAACCCTTTTCAGTGGATCAAAGAATTGTAACACTGGTGATGATATTTCTATATACTCTAGGCACTGGAACTTTCTTTCATGCTCTGGCATCAATTTATCTTTGCAAAGGATTTTTCTTAGTTAAGTACTCCCAGCTGTGTAGTTTGCTATAAACTTACTGATGTATTCCAACATACCTTGCAATTTCCAAATTCCATTTTTATCTCCACGTCGCTGAATGTTCTATATTTGTGGAATCTTTGCTTCATTAGTCAGTATTCCATTTGTGGTCAACTTTGCCTAATAAACAGTTGCTTTCTTTTTAAACAAACACATGCAAAATTTATATGCTACATGTTAGCTAGCACACTCATTTTAATGTTTACATTTTTTGTATTTTTAAACCTCCCTTTGGCCCTAATAAGGGCCCCCAAGTTGGCACAGAAAAACGAAATATTAAAACCACATTGAGAATGAAGCTATTTTGAAACCCCAAAGAGCTGGATCAAAATAGAAGAAATAAGGGAAACAGAATATTGTGTATGTCAGTAAAGGGCTGTAGAAATCATTACTATTACTTCCAGTACTAACATGAATAGTACATCATCATCATCATCATCATCATCATCATCATCCCTACTACTATAGCAAATACAAGTTTTCTAAATATTCCATAATAGTTGTGTTCAACTGTGTGATCAGTATTCATTTCAGTGCCATAAAGCTACTTTCTTTTAGCATCTAGGACAGAACATTTGGAGGTGAAATGACTTTCAATATTGGATAGGTTCCAGAAGGCCATTTTAGGAGGCAGACATTGTTCAGAAAATGCAAATTGTGGAACTTTCTGTGTCCTTGGTAATCTGTCAAAACATTTTGGTACATATAAAATAAATACATCTTGACATTATCGGCAAACATTGCACAACCTGTGAGCAGTTGAAAAGCAATTTTTCAATGTTTTAGAATTGCAGATGCAATTTTCCTAGGAGTAAGCCCCATTGAACTCAGTGGGATTTATTTCTGGGTAGACAGGTGCAGGATTGCACTGCAAGTTTGCTTCTATGCTGCAGTTGCATCAGGTTTTATTTAATGGCATTCGTTATGCCTGGTTAGTTTTACCTAGAGTCCCTAAGCAAAGGCTTCGAAAAGGAATAGGCATATACAGTGTCTTCCAGAAGTATTTACCTCCCTTTGATTTTTCATGTTTCATTGTGTTACAAACTAGAATTAGGTTTAATTGACATTGTTACCACATGATGTGCACAAGACATTCAACACTGTGAAAGTACACAACGTTTTGTTTTTAGCACAAAAGTTAAGTAAACAACAGAACCTGGCACTTTTGGTTGCATGAGTATTCACCCCACTGAGTCAATATGTGGTAGAAATACCTTTGGCAGCAATTATAGTTGTGAGTCTTTTGGGGTAACTCTCTATGAGCTTTGTGCATCTGGATCCTGCAGTGTTGGCCTAGTCTGAGGTTAGTCTTCTGACCTTGAAGCCACAGCTGTTGCACTTCTTTCTGCACAGGAGGGAGGCCATTCCAAATTCTGAGTCCCCGCTTTGACCTCAAAGTATGTTTCCAAGGTTGGAAGTGGAACTCTGAATTTTCCTGTGGCCATCTGACTAGCAGCCATAGGCTGGCATGCAAAAGGTCCTAGGTTCAATCTGTGGCATCTGAGGCAGAAAAAGCTCCTGTAGAGTCACTACCAACCAATGGTATAACTCACTATGAGAGTTTCCTGTTCACAAAAAAGGTCAGAAGAAAGTTAGGATTCTCCATTGATGGAAATCTAGAGAAGGTATGTACCAAGTGAGTTTCATGTGTATAAGGTAACCCATGTTAGTTTCAGTAAAATGGTTACATGATTGAGGTGTATGTATATAGCCATACTTTGGAGATACTGTTCACATGTGTATAGTACAGGCAGAGAGGATGGGTACACTCACAGTCCATTCTACATGATAGGTCCGATCATTCCAAAGATACCATTTGAACTAGGTCAGATCAAGTAAGCGTTCTAGACCAGATGGAAGTAACTTGAAATGTGGTATTTAGATGTTTGTTTAAAACTTTTCTATACCGCCCCATACTTAGACATCTCGGGACAGTTTACAACAAATTAAAGATGTATAATCGTAGTAAACAGAAACTGCCTTTTGACAAGTAAGTTATGGTGTGAAGGCATCATATAGATGATCTTTGGGGATGTGCCATAAAATTCAGTGTAAACCTAGATCATCATCGTAGGTGGAAGACCTGAGCTAAAATTTACATTTTGGAAAAACCTTTCAAGGGTCTGTTGCTCAGATCAGACATGTCAGTTAAAGTGGCTGCAACTGCCAGCATGTTAATCTTGACAGAATGCCTCATGGTCTCCAGGGTCATTCTGAGGAAACAGTTTTACATGGTGCTTCTCTAGTGCCAGGCTATCAGCTGCTATGCATTCATGCAACTTGGGGCAACAACTGCTGCCATTGGCTAAATTCACTGGACATGCTTGGAGACAACTTTTCCATGGGATACTTCAAAGCCAGTCCATAAAAGCATTCCAAACACTGGGGCAAACCCCATTTACTACAGATTGCTGCAAGACTTACTAGGTCAGTGGCAATTATTTGCTCTGCAGACTTCATGAGGAAGAGACAAACTCTGAACAGGCAATCTAGGGGACTACTAATGACACTTACCTGGAAGATTTTCTTCTGTGAACATTCATTGGGTGACAAGTTCTGACTATGGAAAAGTCTATTGCACCCCTCTGGTACACATTGAAGGACAGTGTGGGATAGCATATATGGCTCTGCTGGTTGGAATGCATCCTGGCAGTCACAATATTTCCTCAGGAGTGAGGGCCTTAGTGGCCAAAACATATGTGCAGCATTCGTAGTGGACATACTTTGCTAACATTGCTGGTGGTGGTGGCGGCAGTGGCATCTCCCTATATCTAGGTTATTGTGACAAAATATCCTTAGTAGCAATGTCACCAGCCTGCCTGTCTACCAGATTGTTTTTCAAGTTTGTCTTACAAATAGCCAGTGTGCATAGTGGTTAGAATGTTGGACTGGGACTCAGGAGATTGGATTTCTAGTCCCTACTTCACCCTAAAGCTCACAGGGTTCCTATGGGCCAGTCAGTGACCCTAAGTCTAACTTTCATCAGAGGGTTGTTCTGCAGATAAAATGAAGAGGTCAGAGTTTGTCTGTCTGTTTTATATATGTTGTGATGGGGAAAGGGTTTTATATAAATATATGAACAATAAAGTAGCCATTTGTTTACGCTGATAACATGATGATGTGGGAGTAATAGTATTGTTCTGAGGAGGTGCAATAGATACAGCAACTTATGCAATGATTCTCAGATTCTCAGGTGCAATAGGTTTATATGTAAATGTAATGGGAGAAAGGGAGACCTTAAGGTGTCCATGTCAGTTCCTCTCATAGAAACAGTGTGGGTGTTTTTTGTTTTTGTTTTTATCAGCAGCCACTCAAAAGACACTGAATAGGATCACAAGTGATTTCAATGGTTTCTTTTTTTCTTTGCAAACTGGTAATAACAGCAGTGTTACTAAAATGCATTAAATAGCTTGCTATATCTATATTTTTCTTCTTTTTATTTAGAAATTAATGAGTGCACAGTGCATCCAGGAATCTGTGGAGCAGGACATTGTGTTAACTTGCCTGTGGGATTTGCCTGCTTCTGCTATGATGGATACAGGCTTAATGAACAAATAATGTGTTCTGGTATGATAAATTCTTCTTTATCAGTTGCTAAACCAAACCAAACATACGCGTAGACTTAAAGATATTTAACTTCTGCTTATACAAAGCAACCACAATAAATTCATATGGTTTCTTCTCTTGTTAGTTCTTAATTCTCTTCAAAATACTATTTGTTAGTGACCATTCTCTTTCCTTTGCTCCATTCCCTGAGTTTATCTCACTACTTGTTTTCTTTTTCTTTCACATGCATGCATACACAAATAATGATTACAGAAATTAAATTCATATTATTTGTAAATGAGGAAAATTGGTGTTTCAAAGCGCCTCTGTACGTTCCATCAGCTGGCATAGTGCTCTGGAATCCTAACAGGCCTGCATGAGGTTTTATGATACATATTTGCATGGAACTGATGGATGCTCCATTTCCTTCTCTTGTCCCACTGTACTTTGTGTTAATAAGAAAGAGTGCTCTTCACTTATATTGGTCTCTGAAAGGTTCCCCTAACTCATTGCATATAATGCTCGATTTCCAAATGCATAAATATATAAGACCCCTCTGAAAGATCACAAATTAGCTTTATAGTTATTTCATCTCCAAGGAAATGTAATACTCTAACATTTAAATCAGTAAGTGTGTTTTTAAAATCAAAATTGTATAGCAAAACGTTATTGTTCACCTCTGAGGAAATAGTTCTGTGTTAATGGAATCAGTCTTTCATTTTAGTGTCTCGTGTACATTGGGTGGAGTGAAGTGATAGTCATGACAGAGTACTGCTTTTTCCGTCTTCATACATTTTTATTTCTTTAACAGATATTAATGAATGTACTCAGAATCCCAACCTCTGCTCCCATGGGCAGTGTGAAAATACAGAAGGAAGCTTCCTGTGCATTTGCCAGGCAGGATTCATGGCCAATGAACAAGGAACAGACTGTGTTGGTAACTACTCTGTGTTTTATAAAATGAATTCTTAATATTTAGAGGTAATATTTAAGAGCCTGACTTTGAAACTCACTGACAGAAAAGGCAAGTTTTTACAGTGGCATTGAATTGATGCTAAATGCATAGGCTGCTATATAGTTCATGAGATATTTATTAAGAAACTGGTGGTGATAAGATTTCAATACTATTACAGGAGGAATATAACTATTCACAGCACATCACTAAACTTGCTTATTTGTGTGATTTCCGTTGAAAATATAATGTTGATGAAAGATCAATCTACTGATGAAAGTAGAACAGGGGGTTTCTTTCCTCCAGTGAATGAGCCTACATGAAAATAGATCAAGCATGTGTTTTCAGCTCTATTATTGGCCCTCTCATACTGAAGAGGGCCTATCACACATTAATACAGAGCCATTTTGGACATTCAGAGTACTGTCTGTATGCTTTGCTGTGCCTATTCATACCTTTGCATGGAGGACATTCTTTCAGGCTATGCTAGCTGATCAGGGGTATAATATTCAGGTTGGACAGAGGCTCAGACAAGAAACTTGTAAGGCCTACTGCTTTTCAGATCATGGTAACTGGCTATCAGACTTGAAGTTATATTTTGTTGAGTCCTAGAGGGAATTGTTTTGCAGACTAATAGAATGGGCTTGGCAAAAATGGCAGTTTAGAATCTGAATAGTTACACTTCCAGTTTGATCTGCTCTGATTATTCATGTATAGCATGCATTCAGGTGGTAACTGACTGCTTTTTGAGACATGCATTCTGCACACTGTCTTCAGTGAAAAGACTGATCTGGTTTTGGTTTTGACTCAGTGCATATGTACATATCTAGAAGAGCATTTCAGAGCAAACCAGCAACTACAGTATACGGAGCTGACTTCATGTCTGAAGAGGCTCCCAGCAAATTGCCCTAGTTTTATTTATTAATTACATTTCTGTGCCACCCTATAGCCCCAAAGGTGGGGTTCAATTAAAACAGAGCACAAGATAAAACAGATATAAACAATGGAAGCGGTACAAGCAAGAATAAACACAGCAGCTCACAGCAATTATGGAATTAATAAAATTTATAGATGACATCGCAGCATAAAACCATTTTAAAATCAGATCTTATTTAATTTTAAATCTCTGGAAAAAAGATTTTCACCTGGCACAGAAAGGAAAATGGGGATGGTGCCAGGTATACCTCCTTGCAAAGCATATTCCAGAGATAAGGTTCAACCACCAAAAAAGCCCATATCCTAGCCACCACCCACCTTATTCTTTTGGAGGTGGCTCCCAAAAAGGACATCCCCAATGATCATAGAGTCTGGATAAGAACATGCAGAGTAAGGTTTTCTTTTAGGTAAACTGGCCCCAAGCCACTTAGGTCTATAAATGTTAACATAAGCACTTTGAATTGTGCCTGGACTTCAACTGGCAGTCAGTGCAGCTGAACAAGGACTGGCATAATGTGGTCTCATGGGCCGGTTCTCTTTAACAGCCATGCTGCCCTGTTCTGAATCAGCTGAAGTTTCCAGACCATTTTCAAAGGCAGCCCTACACAGAGCATGTTAGAGTAGTCCGGACAAGAAGTTACCACAGCATGGATAACTGTGGGTGAGCTCTGTCTATCCAGATAAGGATGCAGTTGGTAAACCAGCCTGAGCTGATAAAAAGGTGCTCCTAGCCACTGAGTCCTCTTGTGACTTGAGTGATCTAGGAGCACCCCCAAACTAAGAACCTGGTCGTTTAGGAGGAGTAAAGCCATCAAGGACAGGTTGCAAATGTCCTACCTGGGCAGGCAGTCTGCTTACAAACAGCATCTCCATCTTACCTTGGTTTATTGGCCTTCATCCACTCCATTACCGAGCTGAGTCACTGACTCAAAATGGACATTTGGATGAGATGAAAAAGAAAGGTAGAGCTGAGTGTCATCTGCATATTGTTGACACTTCAGCCCACACCTCCAGGTGACTTTACCCAGAGGTTTCATGTAGATGTTAAAAAGCATGTGAAATTAAATTGAGCACTGTAGTCCTCCATTGGCATAACTGTCAAGGTACAGAGCAACAATCCCCCAGTATCACCTTCTGGAATTGGTCAGCCAGGGAAGATCGGAGCCACTCCCAACCCAGCCGATCCAGCCTATGGTCAGTGGCATCGAAAGTTGCAGTGAGTTCAGGGGTCACACACCCCTGTCTCTCTCCCAGAAAGGGTCATCCCACAATGTGACCAAAGCAGTAGGTTTACACCTAAGTGAGTGAGCCTCTCTAAAGTTTGTTGGGAGAAAGGCTTACCTTGTAACATGACAGATGGCTCGGCTCGGCTCGGCTCGGCTCGGCTCGGCTCGGCTCTTCTCTTCTCTTCTCTTCTCTTCTCTTCTCTTCTCTTCTCTTCTCTTCTCTAGCAGCTTGCTGGCATCCATCATTGGGTTTTTCTTCAGTGCCCTAGACTTTATGTCAGTCCAGACATTGGGAGAGAGATAAATGATGGTGGCCACCACAAAGATATAATGATCCCATGTATGCTTGTCATTCCCCTTACAAAGTCTCAGACTGATGCAACATCTAGGATGTTGTGAAGATCAAATGCAGCTAACAACTGAATTGCAGTTGCCAAAATTCAGCCCTCTGGTGTGTGTGTGGGGGGGGGGGCAGGGGGGCAGCAGAAGGCATTAGTCTTTGCAGAACAGATACTTCTAAGGTACTGCCAAAGGATGCTATGTACTTTCAGGCCTAATGATGAATGTAGACCTAATAATGAATGTAGACTCTCTCCAGTATGGTGAGGTACATCTGAATATATCAAATTGTGAGTAACAGAGTAAACATTTAATCTAACAACACTGAAGCAGGCATTACAAGTAAGCACATTGTATTAATGACAAATCTGACACTGGTAGAAGCAGATCTTGTGTTTTGTACTACATGGGACAATTTTGTTTGATAAAAAATTTAGCAAGTGTGCTAGGTCCAGAATTAAAAAAAGAGCCATAATGCAGCAGTGCACGTGCTTTAAGTAAGGAAGCGCATAAGCTTCAATCATGCCAGTTTCTGCAAATAATTAAACAAAATTGTCTTTATATTTTGCTCCAACTAGTAGGTTGTATGGTTTCTGTGAGTAGCCCACTCTTGTGAGTGATAAAAATAAGTACCTCAAGTAGTCCATAGAACTAGTACTGTGAGGTGTGCGTGTATGTGTGCTGATTTTGAAAGGAAAATAGAGAATATTTTCAGCCTTTAAACTTTACATTTATTTGCTATATGTTTTGGTTTCTAGATGTAGATGAATGTGCTAGACCTCACACCTGTGGAGAAGGTCTCTGTGTAAATACCGTTGGTTCATACAGATGTGAATATTGTGAAAGTGGATTGCGCATGAACAGAAGAGGCCAGTGTGAAGGTGGGTTTCTATTCTGCCCTAACAGAATTGCTTGAGCATTATTATTTACAATTTCTTTGTAAATGTCATCCAAAGAAACTGCACTGTAGATATTCATACTGTGTTCAGGGTACAGAAATGATAACCTTGGGGCATTTTGATCAAAGGACATTATCCAGGGTTGCAACTATGCCTTCACTCATCCTGTTTGCATCTACTGGAACAACCACTGGTGCAACAGGACTAGTGCTTCTTAATGCAACCCTGGAAATGAATAGAAACACTTATTTCCCAAACAGGACCAGTCAGTAGAGTTCCCTTCAGTGAGCTCTGTTGACCTGTCCCATTCCAAAATCTGGTCTTCCAGGTTGTTCCCGGGGTTGCTTCAGGATCCATTAGCTTCCACTTGCACTAGCAGTGGGTCCTGTTAGCACACAAACAGCCCCAAGCATCAATACCTGGCCCAGTCTTTACATGTTTACATATAAATGGTTTCCCATCACTAAACTGGGATTTCTCCACAATAGATATATAAAGTGTGAATGGCAGGTGTGCACATCTAAACACCTGAATACATGCAGCAGTAACTACTAGCCTAGTCCTGACTCCTGACAATATGCCAGATGCACCTAGGTTTACACTTAATGTTTCTGATACAAGAACAACTGGTTAATTGTGATAGATGATTGCTTCATAAAATGTAGTGTTATTCTTACTTAACGATGTACCCTTACAAACAGGTTTGCTAATGTAAAGTATACTTCATTGCTACTTGTGTCATCCATAAACCACATGAGAACAATGCCAGTTCCCATCCTGTGGGCCACTTGTTCAACTGAACTGGCAGGTTCGACATGGCTACCAAATCAACATTATTACCAGGCCCCAGTGCTAAGAAGTACTGATATTTGTGTATGGCATACTTTACATCCCTACCCAATCAGTGAAAGAAGCCACAAAGTCTTCAATTTCAAAAGTATATAATCATAGAATAGTGGAGTTGGAAGGAGCCACGAAGGCCATCAAGTCTAGTCCCTGCTGTTATAGAACACCAAGTTATACCATCCCACTCAGATGGAGGTTTAAATATTTAAAATGTTCCTAGTTGAATGCATCACTATCTATTTAAGCGGCTAATCTGTTCTCCTAAAAGTATTTTGAAAGTTACTATCCACAGTAAAGTTCATCACTTCACTTGTTACGATTATGTAATAACTTGAGTTACAAAAGAATTCATTTGTGGTTTGGAATATAAAATTGGCAAAATCTGCAGTTTCATAGAACAAAGTGTCCTAGCACGTCTGACCTACAAAGCATGTAAAGTTGGGTTTGGACACAAATTTCCTTGATTTAAAAAGAAAAATCAACATAAATTTAATCATAACTTAAAATGATATTTAGTTATTCCGTTTTAAGGATCTGTGTCTTTGCATTCTCAGTGCTTTCATTCCTGTTGTCTTCTATCAAAATATGTTTTTTGATATATGAAGAATATGAAGTATTCTTCTGTAGAGAGTAGCGATTCCAGCTCACCAGTATGACTGTGGCTGTTTTGCTTTTTAATAGAAAGATAGCTTTAAATTTTATTCTTCTGTGAAATACAGATTTCAGAATTTGGTGTTACGGATGTGAAAGTGTGAGGTTTATTAATAATGGTCCCAGTTGAATTTGCAGTGGGAGAAAGAAATGTGCAGACACTAATAAATGGAATTAAACAGTCCAGAATTTTGTTGAGGAATTGTGCTCAACAATTGTGCTCAACGGTAAAGATTCTCACGAAAGCAGTAGTTTTAACTCTCCCAAAAAGATGTCCAGGGAGATTGCATGGAGAGCCAGCCATGGTCATACCAAAGTTACATCTGATGGATGGTAGCCTAATCTTTTCATAGGAAAAACAGATCTGAAGTGGTCATCTATCTTCCCCACCTATAGGCTTCCTGGGTGCATCCTACCTTCACAGATCCATTGCAAAAGCTGCTTCAGTCTTGTTTTCAAATCTCATTTACAGCCACATAAGACCCGAACCCCATAGGCATATGCAGCCCAAACTATCACTTGCAAAAGGGTGTCTACCACTTGAACCTTAGCAATCTTCTCTGATCTTAAGGGCATAGTTTTTGCTTCAGACTTTTCTACACAGCACAGATATGTTAAAAACTGAAACTAAGCCTGACTTTTCAGTGTTGTCAGCTAATTTCATGTTTCATGCAATGTGTAAGGAGCCCTTTCATTTCCAGTCATCTTATACTTTTGACAAAAAGTTAAGTGGAGATGAAGTGTTTCTCTTTTTTTACTGCAAGTAGGAAATAGTTGATAAAACAACAGGTGTACCCCTGTTCTGATGCAGTAGTTTAATAGCAATGGTTTTCCTATTTGCTTTGCATTCTTACCACAGCATTGGTACCTGAGAATAGTTTAGGTTGATTTTGTAGAAGCTAGGGCACCAAAATAAGATGAAAGTTGCAATCCTAACAATTAATTTTTAGGTTGTACTACAACTTTTTAAAGATTTTGAAAGCCAAAAATTTGGCATATCCCTGTTTGGTTGTATGCACAAATATTACATGTGCTATTTGTATATGCTTTTTAATGTTTGGCCCTTAGCTTAAACCCTAAACCTGTTTACACAATGGAACATGCCTTCATATAACTGCGGATTTTGCCTGTGTTAGCATAAATTATAATCCATAATTTAAACATGAGTTTAAACGTCAGTTAAAATAAACATGCTTTGCATTTACTGATTTGTTAACCTCCATAAAGAATGTAAATAAAGCTAAGAAGATAGTGACTTGCCTATAACCACCTAGAAAATGGCATAGATGAGTGCAGATTTAATTTTAAATTGTATGTAGGCAAACTCAGCATTGTAACTGCTCTATAATGTACTTAAGTGAATCTGTACCAAGTTATATTGCATAAGATTATTGATCATAGCACACAGATTTATATAAAACATCCAAAGTTATGTTGTATTATTAAGATGCATTTATTATTTATTGATTATTAAAATCTTAACTTACATTTGCTCTATTTTAAAGATATTGATGAATGCTCAATTCCACATACTTGCCCGGATTCAGAGTGCATTAATACACCTGGCTCTTACCAATGTGTCCCTTGTAAAGATGGATTCAGGGGCTGGAATGGGAAGTGTCATGGTAAATATCTGAAAATGTTTTATGTTCCAGATGTATTTTTGTGAGGGTGGGGGAGGTTCCCTGCAGTATCCTGGAATGTATTTAAATGTTTATATATTTGTTCCTTGAAGTGCATCCAGACTCATTTAGTTGCACTTGTGTCTAGTTGAAGCTACTATGAAAGTTGGTCATGACTTAATTTCAGTAGGAACTAACTTAGTTGGAGAAACTGACTTAACAAAGCTGGATCCAGTACCTTTGCTTAACTAAAATTGAAATTTGGGCTACAATTCACTTGCTTACCAGAATGGTTCTTTGTTGCCATAACAACATAAAAATCAGTGTTACAGTTCACATAAATACTTAATTAAAGTTTGCAACTTTATTGTGAACATTCAGTAGATATGAAACCCTGGAAGAACAATGAACAGGCATCTCAAAGAGCAAAATCTACCTGACCAATCCATTAAGTTGCACAGCTTGGAAGGACTCAGCTGGCTGAGCAACCATGACAACAGCCACAGGACGGCTTGGTTGCCTTTCTAGTCATTTCACTGTCTGAACAACCCTGTCAACTGGAAGAGTGTGGATTGTGTAAATGTCCTGCTCTCTTCAGGAGTGAGGACAGTATCTGGATGCCCCAAAACATTACTGTCCTCCAGCCCAACAGCATCTGATTCCAGAATGAGTTAATGAAAGGTAGCAATTATTTAGAGCATCACTGCCATACAGACTTAAGTAGGAAAAAATGCACATGCAAGAACGGTCTGTTATATAAGTCTTACTAAAATAGAGATTAAGGCTTTCAAAACATTACACTGGTGTACTTTAATTTTAAGTTTTGTCATGCTATTTAATTTATCCCTGGCAGTTACACAACACAGCACTCATTTGAAACCAGTTTTTATGTAATGTAGAGAGAGATTTTTAGCTCTCTAGCTATCCATGTTAATTTTTGTTTTTTAGCTTGATTCTCTTTTCTTGGAATTCTTCTGAAGCCAATAAGAAATACAGAAAATAGTTATTGCTCTGTTTACAAGCAATTCCTGCATAAGTTGCCTTCCTTTTCTTTTAAATCGAGAGAACTACTCTTCATCTTTCTTCATTTGCATTTCCAGTAAAACGAGATACAGTTCATCATTGTAGACCATTTTTTATTTAATATAAATTCTGCCTTTAAGAAAACAAAATTCATTACAATATATAGCAAGCAAATGTACAACAATATAACAAATGCTGTAATTAACACACCCTGCACAGACCGAACCTCATAGCAGGATTAGCCTTGTCTGAATATGTGTGACTTCTGCTAAAAACAAGCAACAAGCATCTGTACATCATCTCTTACTTTACTCTCATGATATTGAGATACCATTTCAAAAAAATAATATCCTTTTCGCAGTATTCCCGCTCCATTTCATCAGTGTGTTTAGTTTTGGTGTCGCTAAATTGAATGCAGAGTATAATTTCTTATTTTATGAAGGAAGCATATTAAAATCCATTGCTTTCTGCTCTTCATATTTCATGTCAGGCCTTGCATAGTTGAAACCTAGGTTTGTGTATCAGCATAAGGGACACTAATATATTCTGAGGGCTCGGTCCTGTCTTTTAGTCTGCTCACATAAAATCATATGAGGTAGTTGCCAACAATCACTTTATTGTCCTGTTAGCTGAACAAATTTATAGTTTACATATGTATGCATCAAATACTTTATACATTGGGTGGGTTCTCTCATAACACTAACTCAGCCTGGCAATAAGGCATACTGAGTTGTTGTTATTGTTGTTTATTTCATTTCTGTACCACCCTGCAGCCAAAGCTCTCTGGGCAGTTTAAATAATCCATAAAAACAAATGATAATAATAGATAAAATATCGTAAAAATTGGGAAAATAGAAAGATAAAAACAACTAAAAACAGATGGTAGAACAGACAAAAACAATACAGAGAATGACAAGAAAGGTGACTTGGCAAACATCCAACAATCCCCTTCAAGCCCATGAGTGGCTGAGTAAGTCCTTAAAAACCTCTGAAAAGAGGGCCATCATAACCTGGCACTGAAAAGATGACAGATTCAGTATCAGCCATATCACAGTGGGAAGAAAATTCCATGGATGGGGGGCCACCGCCACCATGAAAGGAGGGGGCACCTCATAGCTGTCACCCTCCATACTCAAGAGTTGGCACTCAAAGGAAGGACCCAAAGGTTGAGCATACTGTGTGAGTACATGGCAGTTGGAAGAGATGTTCAAACAGGTATTTTGATCCTAAGCCATGTAGAGTGTTACAGGTTAAAACCAGCACCCTGAATGGGATCTGAAGCATTCAGGCAGCCAGTGCAAGTGGGCCAGAACTAGACTTAAATGTTCAGACCTGTGGGTCCCAGTTATGAATCTAGCTGCCACATTCTGCACCAACTGCAACTTCTTAACTATCTTCAGGTACAGCCCCACAAAGAATGCATTGCAATTTAGAGATTACTAGAGCTTGGATTACTTAGGTTATTCCTGTTCAGTTAGAGATGCATCTGGGCTACTAGCCAAAGCTGTAGAAGATACTCCAAGCCACTGATGCCACCTGAGCCTCATGTTACATAGTTGATTCAAGGAGCACTGTGCCCCAAGCTACAAATCTGCTCCTTCAGGGGGACTGCAGCCTCACCCATAACAGATTGAACATCCACCATCCCATCAAAGGAACAATCCATCAAAAGTATTTCAGTCATGTCTGGATTGAGTTTCAGTTTGATAGCCCTCATCCAGTCCATTGTTGTAGCCAGTCACCAGTTTGGGACATCTACTTGCTGCCCACCTGACACTGAAAAGGAGAAATAGAGCTGCGTGTCATCAGCATACTAATGACAATGCACTCCAGAACTCTGGATGAGACCACTGAATGGTTTCATATAAATGTTGGCATGGGGGACTGAATAGACCTCTGAGGAATTGCATGCTGCAGAATCCACTGGGCTGAACAATATTCCCCAAGGACCAGCTTCTGGAGATGATCCTCCAAATAGAAGTGGAACCAGTGTGCCCACTCCCAACTTAGACAGATACTCCAGAAGGATACTTTGCTTGATGGTAACAAAAGCCACGAAGAGGTCCAGCAGTACAACAAGGTGGCCTCCCTGGTCTCCAAGCATAGGTTGGACGACCAAACCAGGCCTGAACACTGCTTGAAAAGGATCCACCTGGAGTTCAAGAATCTTGCCTGGAAAAGGAATATTTGATTCTGGCCTCCCTGGTCCGGCCAATAATTCCTTCCTTGCTGGCTTTCATAAGCCAGGAGGGGCTTATAAAAGTGGTTTATAAAACCACTTAAGTGGTAAGTGGGTTATACCACTTTATAAGTGGTATAAAACCACTTTTAGTGCAGAAGTGGTTGCATGAGGCTGTCCCAAGTATTTTGTCCAAATCCTCAAGATGTACCAACTGAAAGTCATCCAGGAAAACTGAACCACGCTGTGCTCTGGATATCTCCATAGATTCAAGTGCTATAACCTGTTACCCAGATAATCTTGGGGAGCAATATACCTCAAAAGGAAGTGTTTGGCCTCCAGATAGCCTCAAAGGGCTTAGGATCTTTTGTTGGGCTTAGGCTAGACCAAGGGTCGGCATCCTTAAACACTCAAAGAGCCATTTGGGCCCATTTCCCACAAAAGAAAATTCCGGAAGCCGCAAAACCCTTTTGACATCTAAATGAACACTGCATATATCGTTTTTTACCTTTATGCTATGTATAAAAAAACTATAGTGTGTTGCATTTATGAAATCAACTGCTACAGAGAAAACAAATTTTTATTTCTGCATGCAACAAAAACATTTTGAACTCCGAAAAAAAGACACTGGGTTGAAGGTTACTTTCAAATAAAATACTCAATGTCTATTTGAGTCCTCATCAGCAGTGAAAGCAAATGAATCTGCCCAAGTACCATTAAACTTTCTGTTTTCCTCTGAAACTTTTCTTTTCTTGGATATTTCCATGGTTGGCCTACTGGGGTTCAAAAAGCTCAGTGAATCGGCAAGTGTCGCACACTGGTGGCTGTGACGCATATTTTGAGCGACGGAGCCGCAGCAGAGGGATGAAGGAGCCACATGTGGCTCCGACCCCTGGGCTAGACTGAACAAATCCTGGTTTTGCATTCACACATGGCACTGAGAAATAAAAAGAAAGTTTATTCATCAGAAGAGTACAGAGTAGGCACAAGTGTAGGCCCCATGTGGTCCAGACAACAAATATTCTCATTACATCCCAATCTTGCTCTATGTTTCTAAAGAAAGAAAGAGCTTCTTACTTAATGTAGAGAAAGACTACCAGAAAATGTGTGTGGGGGGGATTACCTGTCCTGCAGTAGTAGACCTTGCAGGGAAGAGAGAAAATACAGATTCCTTTCTTACGCCCTGATAGTTATACTGTTTCTCTCTGTACATGTGACTTAAGTTTCCCAAGTTTATGTTAATTGTTGGAATGGTGCTTGATGGCTTCTTGATGGCCTTAACTCTTGTTTTCTTGGGCAAGATGAGTCCTTTTGTCTGTGTTACCTAGGTGTTCTAGATGAGTTTATTTCCAGGTGTGTCAGGACAATGGGTCCTCCTCCTTGCAGGGTTGTTTTGCCTAATCTCTTTAACAGGGGAAATGCCTGACCTTTTGTCCACAAGAATTCCAGCATTCATTCTTCTCTTATATAGGCTACCCAGGATACTAGGTCCTTCTTCCTGAATTCAAGTCTCCTCAACTTGGCCCTGACCTACAAGCCCGTTTTGGCCTGCGAGTTTATGGTTATGTCACTAATATTGATATATTACACACATTACAAACTCGTCCAAGTCCTGATGGATGCAAAAGATTTTTTTCCTGGAAGTGCCCAGCAAATAAATTACAGCAATTCTGAGATGGTTCCAAGGTGTCCCTGGGGCTAGAATATAATAAGTCTTGGACAACCTTGGAAAGCAACATTGGGCAGCAAAGGAAAGATTGGATAGAGGCAATGAGGCATTGTTTCTTTGCTGTTCTCACTGCCTCAAAATATACTCAGTTGGAGGCTCATACCAAGTTTTTGTTGCATTCACTGGGAGTGAAAGATTTGGTTATTGTGCAGGCAGCCCATAGTTTTGCATGGGCTGGCCCCTTTCTACTTGCTCACCGGTCCTCCAGCTAAAACCAATGTGGCAGCTAAAGCTGCTTTGTCTCCTCTGCCTGCTCTGGTCATGAGCCCTTTTCTTGCTCTCTCTGCATATCTATATGCAGGTGTCACTGCTGGGGGAAAAATAAATGGAAACCTAAGCTTTTGACACCTGTGCTCAACCTTTTCTACCTTCTTGAGCACCCAGAGTCTTGCAAAAAAACCAAACAGTGTACAAGATGCAGGATACTGAAAAGCATCAGGTCCAGCCAAAAAAAGGGAGGGGATCTCTCCCTTTCACAAGTGAAGATCACTAGCAGCTTTGTGTTCCTTTTACAGCTTGCCTTTTGACAGCTGTCAGAGAAATCAAAATGAAAAATGAACCTCATTTTATTCTTTCAGTTGGTACCCACAGGTTTGGGGATAGGAACCTGTTGGATTCCCTGGGCACATCCAGCATTTGCAGGGCCCTCACCAGGAATGAAACCCTGTGTTGCCAAGCAGCACCCTCTTCTCTCATGAAGCACTGTCAGCAGCAAGCAGGGAAGAAGCTGGTTTGCTGGGGAGGGCAAGTGGCATGCCCACTTGCAGCACCCTTTTTCCACATCCTGCAGCTGCTCCTGATAGGGAGGGTTGCGAGATGTGCAGCTGGAGCTCCACAAGCATTCACAGACTTCTTCTGGGCTTAGCTCGCTTTGCAGGACTTGGCTGATTGCAAAAGGAAATCTGAGGACATTAGAAGGGCTTGTCTCAATTCTAGATGATAGAACTTACCTATCATGGGTAAAACAAGGCCAAGAAGAAGCCATGAGCTGTCTGGTTGGCTTCTTGCTCAATGGTCCTGGTTCTAATGACAATGCAACCCACCATGGCTTGTCACCTTTCAGGGGCTTTCATGCTGCAGAACTTAGTCACTGTTTTCCTTAAAATGTATATAACAGAAAAATTAGCCAATGTATTTCTGAAACCCAACTAAAGGTAATTATATTCTCCTGTGTTGCCTGAAATCTTGGAACGTGGCTTTTTAGTGTCTAGGATAGGATTTATTTATTTTATGTTGTTGCTTATATTGGCTCTAATTCTTGCCATCTTACCCTGTACTGTCTGCTTTTGAAAGGGGCATTTAAGAATGACAGGCAGACCAGATAGGTCTGTCTTGGTAACCATGCTGGATCTTGTTGGCAAATCCCAAAAGGCTTGCTCAGCATTTCCAAAACTTTAAACAAAGAACATAGTATTATCTATCTGCCTCTCTTACCTATCTTTATAAAACTTACTTTTTTCATCTTCCAACAGCGTTCTTTTTGAGAATAAACACTTTAAAGTCTGTGGCAGTAGATGGAAAACACCAAAAACTGATTGGATGTTGTGTGCGTGATGGATTTGTTCGCCCAATGTAACTTCATGTCCTTTCAAGTGGTCTTTAATACCTGAAACTCTTTTGACTGATCTGCATATTGTGCCTTTTCATGCAGAGGCTGCTAAAAGTGACCTCCATAGGGTGCTTCCTCTACATTACATGGAGGAGTTTCTTATTAGACATAGTACAGATACATAGTTAGATAAGAGATACTGTCCAGTGCCCAGTTTAGCCCACCTGCATGACAATATCTGTGTCATCTGTGCTGTTGTGCTGTGAACATCTAGGTTCCAATCTATGCACAAGATGAGAATCAGCTAAATCTACTCTTGAGCAAGAAGTTGTACAGTCACTTTCAGGAGTAGTCTGTGTGCTCTGCTAGTGCATGTTTTAGAAGTGTTTGTGCAACTAAAAGATTTGATGGAGCTTCACTGGCACTATTTGAATTTATATAATGACGCTGTTGGTTATTGCCCAGTGTTTTAAAATGTCTTTCTTCTTCCTCATCTTTTCTCTTTTTCTCTGATCCTTGCCAAACAGAAAAGAAATCAAAATTCTGACAAAAGCTCTCCCAAAATATTAAATTACAAATCTCTTTGTAGCCATTTTTATTGTTCTGTGCTACTTTTTAAAATGTGAAATCCGGGCTTTGGTGGAGAGAATACACGGTTTACTGCTTTATTGTTTATAGATACATCAGATACAGATTTTGTAACTTATAATTGTTGCTCAGAATAATCTCACCAGTTATTCATCGATAGCATTCCCAAAAAGATCAGAAGATGGGAGCCAGCAGCAAAATGATGAAAAGCATAAAAGTGGGTCTTGTAAGAAAGTCTCCTTGAGGCCAGCTAAGCAACATTAATAAAATGTTACTTTAGCAGATTGTCTTGAAGAGTCTCAAGCATCATTATAAATAAGTGATCCATGTTTTAAACACATTCTTTACATTCACAGATATAAATGAATGTCAGTATAGCAGTCTCTGTACCAATGGCCAGTGTGAAAATCTAGAGGGATCTTTCCGATGTCTCTGTAGCCAAGGTTATCAATTGTCCGCAGCAGGAGATCAGTGTGAAGGTAGGATTAAGACTGATATCTTTACTCTTTAAATAACATATGCAATCTTGGGCATTCATAGGGGACATGTATTCCTCATTCAAGGTATGAGACTGACAGAAACATCCTAAAAATGAACATAGGGTGTGCATAGATTTGCATGTACATCTTGGCATTGTTGTGCCTTTTTACTTACTGATATGCTGAAATCTTGAAAGAAATATGTAAATATGAACCTCCATGGAAGAGCCTTATTTTTAAATTCATCTTTCTCTCTGAAAGGGACACAAGGAGGACTAGTAACTATAAAAGGTGAGTAGAAGGTCAGCAGAGGACAAACGAGTGAAGTTTAAAAACTTTGTGATGAACATTGGCATACTTTGCTAAATATTAATAAAACAGGCAGAAGCATGATTTTTCCAAGGCCTTCTCTCAAATAAACTGTTCAGTTTCCCAAACGTCTTGATGCTCACTTCTGCCTCTGCCTTGTTTTACATCCTTGGCTTAAACTTGTGTCCACTATTATTTTTAAAAATCTTATTCTAAAGCAAGGGTTGGCAAACTGGTGTCCTCCAGGTGTTTTGAACAACAACCCCCATCATCCTTGACCGTTAGCTGTGCCAGCTAGAGTTGTAATATAAAACATTTGGCAGGCACCAGGCTGCCTTTCCCACCTGTACATAGTACTTTTCATCTCTTACCATGGACTGTTTGGAGTAGATAGTTTTCCATGAACTCACACCAGACCTTTCTGCTTGTTGAGTCAGCAGCACCATCTTACAGCAACATGTGTTTTTTTTGTTGTTGTAAGTTTGAAATGAGTTTTCCTGCTGAAATCCAGATGTTGGCATGAACTGACCATCTTTATATTGTGAGAATGGGAAAGATCATTGCAAACTCTGAATATGAACAGCAATTGGATACTACTTGAGAGTCTGGATAAAAAATCAAAAAGCCAATGTGCTTCTTTGAGATTTCTAGTTCCAGCAGGCAATTTCTCCCACTGGAGACTTGGCATTACCAACAAATTTTCAATCAACAACACAGGGAAGAAAATTTACCCTAAGAAGAAACAGTATTTTAAAAATTGTGAATGTTAAAAATAATCCATGCAGCATTATACAGGCTTTACTTTGAACCTGCTTTAATGCATTCCTCATATACATGTCTTTGATCATATTTTTAAGAACTTTTCTATATAGGTGTGTGGGGAACAGTATATAAATAAGCAAGTATTTTCCAAAGGTAAACATTTGCTTATCATGTGTAGATGTCGATGAATGTCAGCAGCAGCAGCAGCTCTGCACAAATGGACAATGCAGAAACATAGTTGGATCCTACCGCTGCATTTGTGGCCAAGGTTACCAGTTGTCAGCTACAAAAGACCATTGTGAAGGTAAACATACAGGTGGCATTTTCTATGAAGAATTCTGTCAAACACTCTTCTATACAATTCTTTCACGGTTTATATAGTTATGCATCGTTTCTGCCACCTGTGGCTTGGTTAGCAAGCCATTGCCCTGATAACAAATTATGTGATGTCATTCACCTTGGAGTATTTACTCACCATCACTATTTTTTTCTCATAGTCAGTAACCTGGTTCAGACTATAAACCATGTCTGTCTTGGGGTTATGTGGGGACCTTGCATACCTCCAGAGCACCTACTGCCCAGGTTGAGTCAACATGACAAATCATGGCAGCTCCTAGGCATGGTTTTGCATATTCACTATGTCAGCCAATACCTACCACAGTTCCTCATGGGAAAATTATGGACTCTTGTCTCATGTGAACATCCTCACAGTGTTTGAGAGTGGCTTGTGGGTCATTGAGTCCAGCCCCACCACAACTACCCCTTGCTCAGGACAGGGTGTCTAAAGCTATTACTTGACTGGCCCTCCTCTGCTTGGACCTCCTGCAAGTCAGAGCTCATGTTTTTTTTATTGTGGCCACAAAGCCCTGACATGGATCATTTTAATGTAGTCATTTCATATCTCTCCCTTATCAACAGTTCACACATTTTCCCGCAAGACTTAATTTCTGTTGTGGGAATTTTTAGCATTCATGGCACAATATTTTGAACTTAGAAAATGCAACAATTCCTCCAGATAAGTGAATTTGTTGCAAACATGATTGCTGGAGGAATGCAGCTGATACACTGTGTTAGCCCTAATTTAATTTAATGCATTTTTTAAAATGTTCTTAGACACTTCCACCCATACTTGCATGGTTTATCTTTTGGCTGATGATAGTTCTGTTCATTTAGTCTTCTTTGTTATTCCTTAGGCGTCTGTGCACTCTCCTGTAGTTAGGTCACAACTTTTAGCAGTGCTAAACTTGACTCCAGGCTCTAACCATGCTCCATCATTTTGTGAATCTTTGTGCAGTATTTTTCCCATCGTTCTTTAGAGTCAGTGCTGAACTGGAATGTACTTGTAAGCCACATTATTTAAAAGGAGCTGTTGAAGGAGCCACATATCTGTCCACTCTTCATTGATATGTTCTGTCTTTAACAAATTGGGCCTTGCTAAGATGTGGTTATGGACACACAGGCCAATAGCCATTGTGACACTGCCTCTCACATAAACATTTTGCACTAGTGTAAAAGACCTCTAGTGAAAGGCTCATAGTTGTTGCTGGTGCGACAGTTTCTCTTGGAATACCTGTTATGTTGTGGTTTTGGCATTGTGCTGGCAGCCATTTAGGTTATTTATTTATGTATAACATTTTTATGCTGCCCCCATCGCAGAAAGCCTCGGGGCAGCTTACAAAACAAATAAACAAATATAGAATAGACATTAAAAAACCTGAAGCATTTCGGCAACACTATAAAACCAATAAATAGAAACAGCAATTAACAGTTAAAATAGCATTTACATAAAAAGATCTTGGCCTGGCGCCGAAAAACAAATAACAACAGCGCCAGGCGGACCTCTCTGGGGAGTGCATTCCATAGGCGGGGCGCCACCGCAGAGAAGGCTCTCCTCCAAGTACTCACCCTCCTAATATCCTTCACAGTGGGCTCCTGGAGAAGGGCCTCCTCCTCCAATCTCAGGGGGCTGGAGGGCATATATGGACGCAAGCACTCCTTTAGATACCACAGCATAATTCATGCTAGACGCAGTGCTGCATTACACATTGCCCATTCAGTCATCTTGCTGAAAGGTGTAATGGCTGGAATGAGCTAGGTATACCTCATTAAACACAGCAAGACTTAGGCTAAAGATGCAGGCCTGCTGGGCTAAAGATAAAGATACAGGCTAAAGATACAGGCAACCATGCTTTAATGAGTTCGGAGATGGTGGATGGTCCAAAACCTTTGGAAAACCAGAACCACTGGACATTTGAAACCTGGGATTTTACAGCTATTACACCAAAGGATCTAATCAGGCTGAGACTGCTCTGGGATTGTTGTACTTAAGGGTGAAAATCATTGCCAGTCTTCATACTTAGCAGTAATTATGCAACATTATGAGGGAATGTGACTCTTTGCTTGTGGCGTATTATGCCTGCCACCTGATTAATGTGTGTAATTCCATAATGAGGCAGCCAGTTTTTGTGTGGCTGATTAAGCCATATTGCTGATGTAACTAGGAGAGACTTGCTTGTTCTTTTTCATTCAAACTGGAGGTGCAAGCCTTCGCCTTGGTTGATCCCAGCTGACAGGAAACCAAGAGGGAATCCTTCCTAGTTCATCCCTTTAATGGTAAGGTAATAAGTCTCCAAAGGACTCCACTTCTGCCACCTTCGAATTGGCTGCTTGTCTTCTCAACTTTTAATCACCCATACTGGAACACAAATATGTGTTTAACTTTGCCTGGGAAAATTATGTAGCCCTCCTCTAAGACATTGTTAAGCACTGGGGCTAGGTTAACCCTAAGCCTGTTACTAGTTTCATCTGTTCTAAAATTATTTGTTTGATGTTGGATTCATTTCAGATATTAATGAATGCCAAGAAGACAGTGATGTTTGTCGTGGAGGGAACTGCATTAATTCTAAAGGTTCTTATGAGTGTACTTGCCCAGAAGGCTTCCAGCTAATTCCCTCCAGGGGTTGTCAAGGTACAGCCTGACTATAGGAATGGTATAAAAAGGATGAATACAAAACACACTTGTAACCTTTTAATTAGTGCATTCCAAGAAAAGCTCAGAAGACATCTTTCCTGCTGTCACAGTTTCTGGATATCTCCCTGGCAAATACCCTGTGTATCCTATGGGTCATTTCACTTGTATGTGTGTCAAATCCAATAATTTGATCCTGCCTGCACAAACCATTGCACAAACACTTCCAAAACTCATGAAGACTTCATTATGATGGGTCTTTTTTGCACCAGTTGTTATGATAGTATTTACACAATTGCTAATAGAACATGCAAGTACTAGCAAAATAATGGTAATTCCTGTACTTTCTCTGTTGACATTATGTTGGTATTCTGTTGGATACAACACTGCTGTCTCTAAGACAGTCACTAACAACCTTAAATCAATATACATATAAGTTCCTACATTTTGCTTTCCATGATGATCTGTAGTTATTTACTGGCTACCAAGGTAAACCTACTGATTCTCATCCACTAGGATGGATTGTACACTTCCTTCGGTAGGGCAAAACGTTTTTTGGAAAAGCATAGAGAATATGATTCTCTTGATGGATATTGTTGTTATTTTTCCCATTCAAATAAAAGCCGGTTCCTATGATTTATGACTGAATGCAAAATTAGATTTTTATTATCTGATAACAGGGATCTTCTGTGTTAGAGTTCCTCATGCACTGGGGACTTCAGAAATATTTTCACTGATGTTTTGGTAAATATTATTGAAATTTTCATATAAATACCTTCAGTGGTTTCTGTGTACATATGTATACAAGGACATTATTGAGTTGGAGAAAGTACATAAAAGAGCAACAAAAATTATCAGGGGCTTGAGCAACTCCCCCATGAGGGCAGCCACAACTAGGAGTGTTTAGCTTAGGAAAAAGCCACGTAAGAGGAAACATGATAGAGGTATTTAAAATAATGCATGCTGTGGAAAAAGTGGAGAGGGAGAGGTCTCCTGTAATACCAGAACCCAGGGTCACCCCATAAACTGATCAGTGGGAGACTTAGGACAAATTAAAGGAAGTAGTTCTTCACACAACGTATAGTTAAACTATGCAATTTACAGCCACAGGCTGGCCACCAATTTGGAGGGCTTTAAAAGGGGATCAGACAGATTCATAGAAGAGGAGACTATCACTGGCTACTAGCCTTGCTGGCTAAGTGGTACCTCTTGAACCAGAAGTAGCATGTTTGTATACACCAGTTGCTGAGAAGCTTGGACATGTGGAGGTTTTGCACCCATCCTGCCTGAGGGATGCTGTGAGCAACTGGTTTGCCACCATGTGTAGGGAGTGCTGGATTAGATGGACTATTGGTCTGATCCAGCATGGCTTTTCTTATGTTCTTCTTGAGCAATTGCTTCTCTCTCCCCTGTAGATATCAATGAATGTGCAGGATCCAATCTCTGTTTACCTCACGGGGAATGTATAAATACAGAGGGCTCTTTCTACTGCATTTGCGAAGATGGTTTTACTCTTTCAAGGGATGGCCAATCATGTGAAGGTAAGGTGGATTACACAAACAAGAAAGTTATGGTATAATTTTATTTGTGTCTATTTAGAAGTAAGTCCTACATCTAAATGTCGTATAGGATTGCAGCCATAATTATTTTCAGTGAGGCAGCGTAAGGGCTGATCTTGACAAAACTGATATATAACAAAATACATCCAACTGAATATATATTCAGGAAGGAAATAGAGAATGAAGATACTGCTAGAGAATTCAAATAAAGATATATCTGGCTTGTTTAGCTACTTTGCTACATATGTAGAGTTCTTTTTGAATGTTACAAAAAGAGGTATATAAAAATGTTTGAATGTTACAAAAAGAAGTGTATATTAAGCACTTGGGTAATAAGTGTTGAGCATTCATAAGCACATTCTATGGATTTCCAGATTAGTTAATAAATGTATGAAAAATTAATTCTTCTTATGAAACCCCTAAGAGCCAATTTAGTATCTCTGAAATATTCCAAAGAGCTAAATATTTTGAAGCCTATACCTTGTCCAAGGACAATCAAGTCTGGACGTCGTAAGTTTACTACCCTCCCAGCTCAATATATATATATCTTCCACCTCCATCAATCCCCAACAAAATAAAGCCCAGTATCCACTGCTTGGGCTTTCAGCCAACCAATTTTTATTGTTTTAAAAACTTTGCAATGAGTCTTTGTTCTCATTAGGCCAGTTGGCATGAAAGTTATGTAAAGAATCAAAAAGTGGAAAAAAAGAGAAATCATGCTTAATCTCTTGCTTTTAGAATTAACAGATAAATCTCAAACCAGCTGGGTTCAGGCCAGGGGAATTCAGAACACTCACATATGTTTATAGGCAGGTACAATTTTGGAATTAAGTGGCTCGGGAGTGAACAGGAGTCTCACAAAGTCAGATAAAAGACAACCACCTTTATAAAGCTCGAGATGTAATAGTTTCCCCTTTTCAGCTCCCTCTACAATATCAAAAGAGGTTCAGCTACATTTTAAAAAACCATTAATTGTTTTTCTGGATTCAGAACAAGAGCCCTTGTAGATGCTGTAAGGTTTGTAAGGAATACACACTGGGAGGAAAGGGAACGTTCATTTGCAAGCCAACAACAGAAGCCATAACAGTATCCACCAACCTGTGATCAATGGCCCTCAGAAGAAGGAAGCACAGCATTCCTTCAGGCAGCCATAACAGTCTCTGGATTGCAGGATATTGGCACCACAAGTATTCTTCAGCCACTCAGGGAAGAGGTCTTTGGCCTTCTTCAGCATTAAGAACTGCCCAAGCACTATATAGGCTTTGTCAAAACCTTTCTCTTCCAGCTTCTTGCCAAGTGGATTTCCAGTGCCCACTAAAGGACCCACAGGTTTTTTTCCCCCATTGGCTTGGCCATGAAGTCCCAGTGATTCTAGCTGGTGGCCATGTTGGCTACTGCTCTGCCCATGCTTATGTCAACCATCTCTCCCTCACTGCTGCACTTCCATTTTGCTGTTTGGGTTTTCAGTTCTCACTCTGCTCTGAAAATCTCTTCTTCAGTGCAATTCATATAGTAGTCACTTCCTCTTGGACTCTTAATACCTACACTCATTTCCAGAAGACCATAACCATCTTCAGCTAGAGCAATATAGAGAGCCAGCCCAACAGGGTCTCCACCCCGCACAATCTCTCACATTCAAAATAACCATAAAATGCTATTTTTGAGTTTCTGTTTTCAAAAAGGGAAGCCTTTCTTGGCAAAACTGCATACTAGGCTACCACATATATATTTTCCAATATTTCAACACATAAGGAGAGGATACATGGTCCTTTCTTCCCTTTCTCAGGTCCTGCTAAAAATTATCCAACTATTTATTATTTTATTATTATTATTTTATTTATTTAGAGTTTTTGTATGCCGTCCCCTTGTTATATAGCTAACTAGACCTGGAAAGAAAGCTCCATATAGCATTAATAGGTGCTTTCCTTCTGGGGCTAGTTACATTTTGTGAGCGTCATTTTCATTGTGATTGATGAGGAGAAGAGGGTTACCCATGCACCAGAATCTCCACAAAAATCAGGCTTCTCACATTTGTATTAACCCTTTTAAAACCCACACATGTAGTTTGCTAATGGCTTGTTTGGTCATTTGGTATTTTCTGTAGGGTACCAGTTGTACACTGACTGTTGTTGCATGTTCAGATGGTGGAATATAGAAGAGTTAGTCTTGCATGAAAAAGCAAGATGCTGTTAATTAAAAAAAGTTTTTATGAAAAAACAAGCTGCAGTTAATCTAAAATAGATGCAAATGTTTCTGCTCTCCTCCAAGCTGCACTAGGGGAAGGGAGGAGCAGAGATAGGAAGGAGTGGGAGTTTGTGGCTATTCCTGTTACAATAAACCATAGCTTGTCATGTCATGCAGGCTACATCAATGAGAAAACTCTAGTTACATTGCATCTTTGACAATTTCTCAATGACTTTTAATGCAGAATTTAGCCCTTTAATTTTGTCTATTTCATATGGAAATGAGTTATTTCATGCTTGTTAGAAATTCAGGAAGTTTTGGTATTGGCTAAAGTCATATTCATGCATTTTATGTCTTTGGGTCAATACCAAATGGTTGAGGACAAATCACAACGCTTACAACTGTTAATGTGTGGCCATTACAGAATATCTAAAGCTTTTTCTATGGTGGGACTAAATATAATTTCACACAAGCAAGTGTACTTTATATATACTTGCAGATATCCACAAAAAATATGGATGTTAGTGGAGACTTGGAAGGGAAATGAAAAATAGTTCATGATAGTTTTTCCCCCTGAAAGCCATTAACAAGGATTTGTGCAGGAGTTTCATCATAGTCATAATCAAGGAACATTGACCTTTTCCTTAATGGTAATTATTATTCTTGCTTGAGTATTTAGTAGCTTTCTGAATATTCAGGAAAGCGTCCTAGATGAACATGGCCTCTATTTTAAATGCACCCATATGGATATATTAAGCTTTTTAAAAATCAAATTATAAGATCTTCATTAAATCTGCAGCTCATCACACACATACACACATATATAAAATGAAAGTATCCCCACTTAAAAAACGAGACATGGAACTTGGAATAATACTAATAATCATGCCCAGTAATAATTTTCAGTCAGTCTCCAGAAAGGCCCTCAAAGCATTTCTTAATCTTCAGTATTGATAAAAGCAAATCTTTCACCATCTTAGACAAGACAGTAATTTGGGTAGATGAACATCTGCATGATGTAATGCTTTAAGATGTTTCAAAAGAAAAAGAATGAGGTAATTCTTTCTTTCATTTCAGTGCCTAAAGCCATATCAGCATTGTCTCCTGGTCAACAGTATTATAATTAGGGGTATCAATAGGAAAGAATAAGCAAAAACTAAAATGAAGAAAGAAAACAAGCAAAGCTAAAGGAAAGGAAAGGTTCCTGTTCTACCAATAGAACTGTAGTTTTGTGACAATTGAATTTCATATATAAGACGATGCATGGATATGAAGAAATTTCTGTGCCTTGATCTATAACTTACAACAGTATGAAATCATATTCATTTTTATGTGTAGAAATTTAATCTCAAATGCTTCCTAGTTTAAAGAATATTTCTGAAGCTCATGCATTGGTTAAGTTTTACTGGTAAAAGAGATCTTATGTAAAACAGTTATGCAATTATTTCACATTCCGTTGGTACTGAGAAACATATTTCTTTGTTTAGTGCAGTGCTCTGTGTTGTTGTTGTTGTTTTGTTTCCTGTTCTTTGTTTTTCACAGACCTAAGAATAGTTTTAGACCTGAAAAGTATTTTTACTTAGAAACATACGAAAGCAATATGATTTATTAACTGAGAACTTGCTGATTTTGCCAGTAATATTTCTCAGGACATCTTGACTTACTAAACTAGTATTGCTGTAAAAGTACATAAACAATCATTTCTAAAAAGTGAATGTGATTGTGGAGATAAGGAATTGGCTTTCTGAATAATACCATCATGATCATAATTTTTAACTTTACGGCTTACCCTACATCTCTGTAAAAGTAACTGCACAACACTATCTATATCTATACCACCAAAATATTTGGAATTCAATTACCGTTACAAAATCTGTGCCTAATTGCTATTTATATTATATTTTATATTATATTATATACATCTACCTTTTTCTTCTTGTGAGGAGCCCAAGGCAGTTTACATATCTCCATTTTATCCTCACAAGGGCAACCCTGTAAGTCATGGTAGGCTAGCCTGAGATTGTGCGACTGTCCCAAAGCCACCCAGTGAGCTTCATTGTCAAGTGTGGACTAGAACACAGTTTCCTTAAGGCCTAGTCCAGTATTCTAACCATCGTACCACACTGGCTTTCATCTGGAAACTTTTTCAAAGCCTTTTTAAAATAAAAAAATGTGCTGCTGCTGCTGCTGCTGCTGCTGCTGCTGATAATGATGATGCATGGCTCTGTTTTAATCTCAGAAGATCTTACAAATTCATCTTCTGATTTCATGAGATGGATAAAAAGAATCATACATTGTTCCCTATTAAATTCTATTTAAGATGCCATTTTTCACCATTTTACCCTTCATGCCAGCCATTTATAAGGAAGCAATCTGTATAGGGACAAAAGTAGGTCACACATTTGTACTATTATGGCTGACATGAAGCTGACATGACAAAGTTTACTGCGTGCTTATCAATCGCTGACATGAAACAGGTCACCTGTATTGATCTCTGAACATAAAAGAAAAAAGCACATAGAAAATGCTTCATTAGCTTTATCTTATTCAAAAAATGTAATTAATGCATTTTTGTTTATCACTGCATGTCTGCTCCTGGAATTTTAAATTTTCCTTAAGTGTTCCATCTAGTATTAATGTATCTCATTTTTCAGATGTGGATGAATGTTTCAACAACACTGTGTGTGGAAGTCACGGTTTCTGTGAAAATTCACCTGGCTCCTACGGCTGCCTTTGTTATCAGGGTTATCAGTATCTACAGGATGGGAAAGGCTGTGTGGGTGAGTTGCTAGAATTTGATGAATACTTCTTCTTTGAACAGCCAATTTTTAGGGAAATCTTCATTAAACCCTTTCCTATTATCTTTATTTTATACAAACCTATTCAAAATGAAATAAGGTACACTTTGTAGCCATTTAGCAAGAACATAGTGTTAGGACTAAATTAGAACAAAATCATTTCATCTTTTTAGAACCTATCATTTTTTTAAAGCATCAGACCATTCATCTACAAGACAAATTGTAATAGACTGAATTTAAATCCTGAATGACCAGGGTTTTGCAGAGCCCAGAGGAACTATAGTCTAGCTTTTGTGACAGAATAGTTGAACAGTTTTCAAATTTCACTGTAGTACTTCAAAAAGTTATTTTTCATTATAACAATCTTTATAATGCTATTCACATAATCCATATGGCAAGCTCCATAAAACCAGTAGAAGAGTCAAGCAGACTCAGGGAACAGTGACTTCCCATCTTTAGGCAGGTGGGCTTTAGTACTCTGCATAGTGCCTCTTCAGGATCAAACTCATGCCAACAGTGGGGAATGTGTTTTTTCAGAGTTCCTGTTTCTTCCTCACATCCCTCAAAATTACTGAAAAAGTATGGCTGAATATTTAGGTCCAGCATTACTCTTAATGCTCAGAACAGACTGTTTGATGTATATCCTGCCTCAGCATTTTGATCACCACTGGGAGAAATGTTGAGTAGAGCCCTTCTTTCAAAAGATACTTGCTGAAGATCACTAGGAAAGTTCAGGACTGAATTAAAATAAAATACCACATACGTATCTTGCACTATTCTAAAATAACATTTTGTATGTATGCAATGTACAATATACTGGCATGATTTCCATCAATGAATAGACCTAAAAACATGTTGTAGCTTATCCATGCAAGTCATCTCATAAATTGTGGCTTCAGTTGTAAGTATCTGGGAATTCAGACTGCTTATTGTTAACTCCTACGGGAAAATATTTTCCTGTTCTATCCAGTGGAGAGACGTCATTATGAGAAGTGGCCATAAGCTATAACAAAATCTCATAAATACATAGAGAACCAGGTAGACACACCTACAGAGTTAGCTAACAATTTCTAGACAATTCTCAGTATCAAGGAAAAGCTGTAAAACCTTTATGGCAAATATAAATAGCTACAGTATCCTATTGACTCTTTTCAGTTCATTGTCTGATCTGTTTAGCACATGGTCTGATTGAGCTTAGAAGCATCAGGAACTGTAAGCATATCTGAAATGAGTGAGGAGAGAAATTGCTGGACCATATGTGTGTATCATGCAAGCAGACATGTGTATATCATGACATCTAGTCTTATTTGCAAAAATAAAAAGGAAAGGAGAGGAAAGGAAACGTTATAATCAATTCACAAAGGAAGGAAAAAGTTTGAGTGACAGAAAACATTTGCTCTAATGCCTTTTTAGCATGAAAATGTTGGAACAGAGATCTAGCAGACCTTAGGTTATACTTTTTCACCTGCTGAAACCATCTCATGTTTATTCTGTTGTACTGAGTGGGGATGCATTCCTAAATCTCAGCCATTTGATTTAGTGATGGGAATGTGACCACATGCTGAAATAAGTAATACCAGTAAGCTATGTTTTGCACTACCATAAGCCATCAGTGTTTTTCTTAATTTTTCCTGTTATATTTTAGCATAGCAGATTAAATTTTTGTGTAAGAATATATTCTTCATAGAAGGACAAGCCAAAATTCAAACATAAAAGCTTAATGAAAAACAAGAAAACAGTAAGAGAAGGAAGATCAAGAGAAGTTTAGAAAAATTACAGTAGTTCCCCATAGCTATAACAGTGTTTGTTTGGACAGATATCTGGCAAATGCTTCTGTCACATATGCCCTGTCATTTCTCTTCCACCTGTCAGGGTTTATTTTTCCGTTAGAATCTTGTTAACCAGCCCAACCTATTTCACAGTCACTATACTGGAAATTTAAATTGGTTTAACAAACATTGGTTGCCCTAAGAGCTGGAGCTTGTGAGCTGTTTTGTGAGGATTTGTCACTTATTAGATTGAAATCCTTTATCTCCTCACAGAACAACCCATAAATGGATATTGTTCAAACCAGCCCTGACATTTATACAGATTTAAATGCAGTCATTCCCTCAGCTAACTTAAATAATGGCCTTTTCACACCTAATGCTAAGCCAAATTTTTTGAAATCTGGAACCAGCTGCAAAGAAGTAATAGAAGTTAAAGTTTGTTTTTAGCATACAAAATCTGGCATATTTAAACTATGGCTTGTTGTGATTTCTGAACCATTGGTTTGTTAGCTCTGCTGTCTGCCCTAAATGGAGGTACTCAACAAGAGCAGCCAGAAAACAAAACCTCTCTGAAGCCTGACAAAGTGGGCAGGAGAGAAGTAAACCAGAAATATGGAAAGCAAGCTTTTCTTTAAGTTTGTTAAACAGTTTTCTTTAAAGTACCTTTTCCTGAATGGCCTACAAAATGCCTCATGGTTAAGAACTTTTATCAAATAATGCATTGTATGTGAAATATTTCTTATTAACAATTTCCATTGGGGAGAGTAAAGGATGATCTTCATCTTATATATTAACTCTTCTTGGCTTTTCTGCAGCTGGTATTCTCCTAGTATAAACCATACAGTTTTTCCACTGTGATATCCTGTATATCGAATGTGATTCCTACAAAGGCTCAGGGCCAGACCACATGTTACGCTTGATGCATATTTTGGCATGTTTGATCTGTACTTTGGCCCTGCATGTTTTGCTTTGTTCTTAATTTGTAAGCTGCAGTGGCATAGCAAAGCAGCCCAGTCAACGAGAGGGAACCACACTGGAATCCTGCCAAAATATAAATTGCTTCTTCCACTCCAGCTACTATTTGTGTCAAGAGCGAAGCTGCCATGGGCTCCATTTTTTCACAACTGTGCCATGATCAGCCCCCATTTTGCCTATAGTTGCCATTTACATTTTTTTTAAATTCTCCTCAAGGCCAGGATTACTGTTGAATGTAATCTTTAATTTGGCACTAAATTAGATTCCTTTTGATGATGACTTGTTCATTCACCCTGATTTATAGCATTAGTTTTAGACAATGAGCTACATTGATTTTATTGGTTTTATTTCTTTGATCTGCTGTTTTATTCTTTCTGTTGTATTTCTTTCATGTATTCTTGTGTTTCATGTTTGATATTGTATGAGAGCCACTTTTGGGAGCCTTGGAAAAGTGGATGGTGGCATGCAATATTTCAAATAAATATTCACATTTTCCCAGTTTATTTTATTGATTTGATTGTTTTGATTTCTATATCACCCATTAACTGAAACAGTTGACTATACTTGCACATAGATGGCAGGAACTATGAAATATTACTGATGAAAGGAGATGTATAAAGTCAATATTATTCTTCAATTTTCAGATGTGAATGAATGTGAAATGCTGAGTGGAGTATGTGGAGAAGTCCTCTGCGAAAATGTGGAAGGTTCCTTCCTTTGTCTGTGTTCTGACGAAAACCAGGAATATGACCCAATGACTGGACAGTGCCACTTCCGATCCTCAACAGGTAATGTTCTGTTAGTGTTGAATGTAAATTTATTTATTTATTTTTCAATTCATATCCTTCCTTTTTCCTACAAAGGGCTCAAGGCAGCTTACATCTTCTCCATCTTATCCCCACAACAACAACCCTGTGAGGTAGGTTGGGCTGCGAGTCTGTGACTGGCCAAAGTCGCCCAGTTGGCTCCATGGCTGAGCGGGGACTAGAACCCAGATCGTCTGAGTGCCACTCCCATGCTCTTAACCACTACACCACACTGGCTCTCCCTGTGCTGGACAACAGAACTTTTCAGTCTGATGTAATGTAAGGAGGCACTAAAACTGTAATCAGTGGGAACATAAAAGTATTTTAGCACATCTTTAAATTATCCTGCCACAGATTAAGTTTTAAAGTACTGCTACTATTAAAAATAATAATGTGGGTGTCTCTTACCATTTAGAATGTATGCTTGTTTTTTTCAAAGTGTAACAGAATTTTGCTATCTAGGGATTAATAAAGGTGCAATCCTGAGTTGTGTTTCTGATAATATACAAGACGCCCCAGCCTGCCCTTGGCTACAAGCCAAATGCAGGGAGGGAAGTGGAGAGGCCATAGAACACTACATGTCCCAGTCTCTGTGTTTCCTTCTATTCCTGACCACCAGCACGGCCCCTTTTCTCTGTCTCTGATTTTTCTGATGAGCATGGAATTATAACCTCATAAAAGAAGCTTTCTGTGGTGGCGAGGAGTGCAGGGTATATGTGCATGTGTGTATGAGAGAGAAATCCATAATCAGGTGTTCTCCTCCATGCTCATAGCTCTGTCTACAAGTATAGAAGAGATATACAGCATCCTATGGTGCCCAAGATGTGGTTTACAGATCATTACTTTGCTTTTGAATTTGTTCATGTTTTACTTACTTATTCCTATTTATGTGATGTCCATTTCTAAAAACCATACGAGTTAGAGCGTATTTAAAAGTTTTAAAAAGCATCTTCCAACAGTTATTTATTTATTTATAAGTATTCTTTATATAGCTTCCATCATTTCATGCATGTGTGTTCATCTCGCATTGACTGTATCATCAAGAGATAGCTTCCTTATTCATACATGTGAAATGGTGATAAAATAGTATATTAACCACTCCAAATATAAAATTTATAACACCAGTTTTCATGTCAAAGATGATAAATACTATTGTGAGCATGCTGTCTGCTTACTGTAAATGGGTTATCAGCATGTTTTTGCCTTTATACCTATACTTGATTTCTTCTGCTTACTATAGCATGATTCACTGTACAAAGTTGTATTAAAATATGTCACAGAAGTCTTTAATTTACATCAGTCACAATTGTTTCATTTAGTGGCTGGTTCAAATGGTTCAAATAAAATAAGACACAGTTATGAAATAACCTTGCCCTGAGTTTCTAACTTGCTTATTGCACTGGATTCTCTACTTGCTGTAAGGCAGATCAGGTGCTTGCTCATTGGTAAAAGGCTGTTCAGAAATATCATTCAAAAGAAACTAGTCACAAACATTCCTCAGCTATTGCTCAGATGTTCATTGAGATAAGGTCTGTAGCACCTGTCACTGAGAACCAATTAAGAGAGTCAGTGTGGTACAGTGGGTTAGAGTATGGTCTTGGGAATCAGGCGATCTGAGTTTTAGTCCACACTCAGCCATGGAGCTCATTGGGTGACCTTAGGTCAGTTACAGACCAACCACAACAACAATCCTCTTGTGAGGATAAGATTAAGAGGAGGAGGAGAATAATGTAAGCTACACTGGGGAAGGAAAAAGACAGGATATAAATATAATGGATGAATGAACAAATGAGTGCAGCTTCACTCCTCAATTCAAAGAATGGTAATGATGGCCTGGTTGACACAGTATGACAAGCCAGAATATGGATTCAGTGTGAGTTGTTGAATCATGGGTTGCTGTGTTGTGTGAACCCAGCTGTGCTAACAAACCGTGATTTATTAACCATGAACACAGCCCAACGATAAACCATGAGTTGCTTTTGTGGGTTGTTTGTGACTGACAAACTATGGTTAGTAGCATTGGGGTCTACATGACACAGTGACGCAGTAACCCACAGCAGCAGCTCACACTCTGCCCATAATCAATCCCCCACTCTGGCTTTTTGTGTTCTCTAAACCCAGCCATTATGAAACCTCTGTAGAATGTCTAAATTCCCCAGTAGCATATACACACAGCAACAGTGAAATTCACATCGAGGCACTAAGACCTCTGGATTTCAAAGCTTCAGGATACCTTAAGAAATATTATTTTCAGCTTGATGCATCCATTGCAGTTCCCCTGCTTCCACTGCAGCAGCCAGCAGTGCTAATACACACAGATCAATATCTAGATAGTTTGCATCTTGCCTGTCCTGCTTTCAGAGAATGGAAGCCACATGTTCGGAAATGGAGAGCTAGGGTTGATTGCATCTGGAATCTCTGCAACATATCCTTCTAATGGGTTGTATTTCAAAGCAGCTGACCTGATTGGATATAATTATTCCTTAGATTTCATACTTTTCCAATTTTGGTGATGTAATTCTTGGATCAAGTTATATACCAATATATATATAAAACAAGTTTTTTAGGATCTGATCTGTTTAGAAATTTTAGAGAAAATACATTTAATTCATGTTTCATAAGAAAAATTTTAAAAATATCTTTTAAATATGAATTTTCATGCAGATTTTATCTTAGATTCATGTGGAAGTAGAATGCAACAGACTTGTGAATGGCATGTGCAGAACTGATACAGGGCAGAAACAGACTGACCCATCCATCTGTAACCCAGATTCCTTCAGACAAACTTAGTTGTGTGATCCTTCTGTATGCATTTCCAAACCATACTGAATTTTCCAGATAACTGCAAGGAAAAAATGTAGGTTATTGCCATAGTTCCTCTGACTAAATACATGCCTGCACATATTATCTTTGAGGACTCTGATCTGCATTTCAAATTTTCTGTGGAGTTTTTGGATATCAAACCCTATCCATATTCATGCTTCTTGGCCAGCATGCTGGCCAGTGATTAAGGTCACCAGGTTTGGGAAGGCTGCATATAGCAGGCTGAAATTTTACTGATTGACATCAGTAAAAATTGATACCGGTCATTGACATCTGTGAACCTTCATGAAAGTCTGGAACTTCCTGCTGTTACTAAAATATATGCTACTTTCTATCTGATTCTTCACCTATCAGGTGAGGTACTGTGGGCTATGACTCGTCTTCTCTGAAGTCTAATAATAGATCCTGCCTTCAAATGCATAAGCAAGGTGCAGAGTGCAGATCATCTAATAAAATCCACCCATGCAAAGGGGTCTTGCAGGTGCATTTCAAATGTCCTTTTCCCCAAAGATAGTTTGCAGCATGAAGCAATCAAAGTCCAAGCCCATCTGTTAAGAGGCTAATAATAGGAAGGAAGCATGGATATGCAGACCCAGATCTGTCTATGCACATTTCTTGTGAAAGACACATGAATATGTAAACCTAGATCTGTCTGTGTACATTTCTTTTCTTGTTTTAGAAAAGTTTTGTGTCTCACTCACTTTCCAAACATTCATGACGCCTGCCTGACTAACCCTCAAGTCACAGCTGTGTAAACAGCTTTTTTAACAGTTCTGGACACATAACAGGAGGAGAAGCTGAAACATAAAGTATGGGATTAAATAGTCACAGTGAATTTCACATTCCAAGGGGGTGGCTGTGTTAGTCCATTGCAGCAAAAACAACAGAGATGTACCGGCACTGCTGGGATTCTGTATTTGTGCCTGAAACTTTGATGCCACTTAATTTTAATCAAGATTCTCCTCATATTCACCCTTACTTGCCTATTTCAGTAATTATTCATGAATTGGGATTTGGTCTGCAAACACTTATCCCACATCAATTCTTTTAGGTGCCACTGCATGCTTTGTTGCTTTTGCACTGAGGAGTTCATTTCTTCTTCCCCCTGGGCCATTCTCTGGCACTCCTTTTGTTAGAACACGGTGTCAGAGCTGCTGTGGTTTCAGGGTGGAGGGGCTGCACTTTGAGATTCTGGCTCTGGTTCATCTCAACATATGGCCTGTGTCCAATGAAAATGTATACTTTGGTGGCTGAGGTACTGAGCCTCCTCTCACCTTGGGAGAACCAATTTAGTTCAACTGTATTTTTTTGACATATGATAGTCTTCATTTGGTTCCTATTGGACAGGGAGTAACACCACAAGGCCACTGTACATTATGAAATTCAGCACATTATGGAAAACTGGAATTATCTGATGAGGCGAGACCACAGACTAGACTAACAAAGATAAAATAGCACTCAGCTGGGTGTTTCCCCACAGCACACTTAGTGACTTTGGCAAAATATCAAAGAGAAATGAGGGTGCTTGTGTGCTAAATTTGAAAAGGTTTGTATGTCAGTTTGTGTCCAATGAGACAAACATTAATTCTTCCAAAGAAAGAAAAGACCAATTTAAATGTGTGATAACTATTGAATGAAATATAAATACTATGGCTAAATTTAACTATTTTATGCATCTCGGCTATAGAATATTTTGAACACATTACAACGAATTATTACAGCAAAAAAATTCCAACTGATGTCTTTTGCAATCATGCCTTAATACCACACAACACAAATAATTTCCATTTCTTTCTGTGAAAGACTTCTGTTCTGTTGGCAGATTCTGTAATGTATAGAAGTAGAATATATGCATACACACATCTTTAAATCCATGAAATTATCTTAATAAACACAACCAGTTTGTTTCTGAATATACTTTTTATATATAACGTTGAATCTTTTATTGTTGTTCTTAGGTTTACCAGTAGATACAAAAGAACTAGCAGATGAGAAGAAGGAATGTTACTACAATTTAAATGATGCAAATTTTTGTGATAATGTTCTAACATCCAATGTTACAAAACAAGAATGCTGCTGTACTTTGGGTGCTGGCTGGGGTGATAACTGTGAAATATTCCCATGTCCTGTGCTTGGAAGTGGTAAGTGTCCATTCGCTATTCACTTGTTTCTACTGCTAATATCATGAAGTCAATAAGTGGCTCTCACCTGACTGATCATGCTATATGAGCAATAATTCCTTACTTCAAGGAAGTAATCACTATTTTCTTCTGTGGGACTTACTCCCAAGTAAATTACAGGTTTGCAGTTTTTAAATTGGAACAATGTGCAAAAGCCCCATTGAACTTATTTATTGGTACCCGACCTTTCTACCAAAACAGACACTCAAAGCAGTATACAAAACAAATTTAAGACCCATTAAATTCAGTGGAACCTCTGAATAAAGGAACTATTTACAAATAAAGTGGCATTTATAAAGTAGCAATAAAATGGACAACATAAAGTCCAGCTGTTAGTTACAATAAACTGTTGTGGTATCCTATCTCAGATTCATGTTTTTCAAGCTTTAGTTGACATTGGCTTTCTTAAGTCATTTAATATTACATGAGGAATGAATGTTACATTTCTGTTATAGAGATTATTTATCTGGACCTCAATATTAAAAATATTTCAATATTCTAGATGGTCTTGAAGTACCTTGAATATTTTATTTATTTGTTTATAGAAACACACACATGCATATTCTTCCAAATAGAGAGTCTGCATATTTGAAGCCATTTTATGTGGCTCCTCAATGTAAGAGTTTGAAAACTATGGAATTCTAATTTCTCATGTGCTGCTTGTGATGTAGGACAGAAATTCTGTTCATCCAAGATTAATGGAAAGAATATAACTATAAGGTGTCCACACCATAAGAAGCAGTCCAGAAAAGGGACAGTTCACATAGGGAGGTTTTTTTCATACACAGTCTGTTAATTATTTAAAATATTTCTCTCCAGTCTTTCAATTAAAAAGTAATTCTCAGGAAAGACTACTCTCACTAAATAAAATAATAATAAAGACAGGAAGAGTCCTGATTTTCTCCTGACATAGTCAGTGGGGAAATGTAGTTATGATCACATATATCAACAATTTGTTAAAAGCAATCAACATATATCAAAATCATCAAGCATCAGCAATTCATGTCACTACTTTTTCTGCTGATGAAATCACAGAAATTATTGTAAACTAGATTCATGCTAACTCAGGTTATACATTTGACTGTATCTATCTTCTCCAACATGGTATCCTCCATATTTTTGGACTCTGACTTTTCTCAGTCCTAGTCAGAGGGCCAATAATCAGAGATGGTGGAAATCATAGCCCAAAAGAGATGGAGGACACTACGTTACAGAAGACTGATTTGTGTGGAAGTCTAGCTGGAGTTCACCAAATCTATTTGCATGGACAAAAAGAGGATGGTGTGTGAAAAGGTCATTTTTCCAATTTTTTCCTTCATTATCAGCTGGGTTTCATCACACTATGAAAAAATGCCAGTTCAAATGAAGTTTCTTTTCTTTGTTTTTTTAAAACACCATTTCTTTTTCTTCACATTGTCCTTGAATCAGTGAGTGCTGAGTTAGCAAAAATGTGGCTAGAGAAGAAATCACAATGTGTAAAACTATAAAAATGGCTTTATGTGACATGTGGTATCTATCTCAATGTAGGTTATTCCCCCTGATCTGAATTGTACCATCCAGTTTGCATTTAGGTTGGTTGGAGTTTAGACAGTAAACCACTCTAAAGTTCATATATATTGGCTTTTATGTGGTATCAAATCCTCCCTGTCTTATGCTAACTCTATGAATGAATGCCAAAATGTCCAGTCCTTGAACACCCTGCGCAGCTCTTGTAGACATATATGTCTATTACACACACAGAAGTCCCATTAACTTTAGTAAGACTATCCCAAAGGTATGCAATTGTGCTTTACACATTTGGATGCAAGTTTGTGGAATGCCATCATGGCTATGGAAAGTTAAATTGCTGTGTGTAACTTTTTTCAAGAACCTTTCTGTGGTTGCACATGGAATGCCATGTGCATTCCATCTTATGAAAGTGCTATGGTCACTGTCTTTAACAAAATAACAGCACATACCTGAATCTCTTTAATTTTTCTGAAGAGGTGTTATGTTAGAAACAAATTATATAAAATAAAAAATAGTTCTTAGAAAACAGAAGTGCCAATTTAAGATGTGCCAATTATTATAGAATAGTTGCCATCTGTTTCATATTGTGATGCATGAGTACATTCTGACTGAATTCTTGGTTTCTCTTCCTGCTAGCTGAGTTTACTGAACTGTGCCCTGAAGGGAAAGGGTTCATACCCTCTGAAGAGACTTCTTACGGAGCCATTGCACCAAGTTACAAAGGTCAGCCTCAGTTATATAGACTGAATTATTAGTGTTTCAAAGATCCTAAGAGAAATTAGAGCTTAGTTAGAAACCATTTCTGATATAGTGCTGTGCCAATTTTTTATGAGGTCCCATTTTTAATGTGAAAGTTGCTGGTTTGTGGAGGTGAGGGAAAGAGCCTGCAATAAATCCCTACAACATTCACAAAACTTTAGGATTATGTTGATTGATTGATTGATTTTATGTACAGCTTTTCTGCCCAATCAAGACTCCCAAGGCAACCTAAAGCACAATTACAAAATAATGAGAATATTAATACCAACTCCAAAATAAAGGCACTAAGAGAGCAACATTAATAACAAAAGCACATAAGGACAAAATGCATGCAGGGTATGCATTCAGATGAAATCTATTTTGAACTTAATCAATTAGTAATTGAAGCACCATGCAATAGGAAGTCAACATCGTCATGGCCTATCTAGGATTGCCTGGTGCTTCTAGTCTTGCAGTAATCAGAAGCACTTGCTTAGGCCCTTAGCTGGGGCCCAACTAACTTTGAGGGAATGCACGGTAAGTTGCTCTCCTAACTGCTGGCAAATAGATACACACCCTACTCCTGCCACCCAGTCCTCCTTCATTTCCTTCCCTCTTTTAAAACGAACGGACCAACAATCTAGTGGCAGCAGCTCCTTCTTATTCTTCTCCTCCTCATTTTCCTAGCCTGCCCTTTTAAAAATCAACAGTTTTTTAATTTATGTTTTGAGTAGCAGTGATCCTAACCAGTCAGCCTTCATTGAGCACAGGTCTGGTGCTCAGGTGATCTGAGTTCTAGTCCACACTCAGCCAGTGGAGCCAACTGGGTGGCTTTGGGTCAGTCGCAGACTCTCAGCCCAACCTACTTCACAGATTGTTATTGTGGTGATAAGACTGACAGTAAGAGCAGGAAAGTGATGTAAGCCACTTTGTATTCTTCAAAAAAGAAAAGGTGGGATAGAAACCTAAGAAACCAATAAATAACTTGCTTTTGAGGTGCCATGGCCAATAAGGATGCAAGAGTGGCAAAGGGGCAGTCTTTTTGTCACTTCTGTACCTTCATTGGCTTTGTACTATCTTTGTACAAAGGTACTATCTGGTTGGTTCAGATCACTGCTACTCAGAACATACTTTTTTAATAAAATACTTTTAAAATGGCATGCTTAGGACTCTTCATGCATGCCCATGAAGAGTCTTTTAGTGCCAGGCCAGACCAGGCTAGAAGGAGAGATGGGAGAGTTCAGAGCTGAGGAGCTCACTGGATCACAGGGCCCCAGACCTTGTTCCATGGTCCAGATCTACCTTTGCCACTTCCCAACTTATAAAGGATATTGAATATACTTTTGGGTATTATTCAAGTTGTGCTAAGAACATGCCCTCTTTTCCATTTAGAAGTGGGCTTTTGAGCTTATAAATGATACACAGGCACCAAAGGGAATTGTGATTTATGACTAATGCTGTAGATGTAGAGAGTGGCTATTAAAGTCCCTGGGCCTTCTTGAAGCCTTGCTCATTGTGGCATATAGATATATTGTGGATTAGCAAGTGGCTTGATATCCCCATCTAAAACTTAAAGGCTCAAACCTATACATACTTCCCTAGGAGTGGAACTTACTTATTTATTTAAATATCACCCTACCTGCCAAAAAGCAAGAGTACAGTGATTTCATACAATAAAAATAAGAGCATTCTACACTTACACTTATCCTTACCTGCGCAACAAGGACATTAGCCCAAAAACATTTGGTATAGACTGATAATGTGTAATAATGTACTGGTTTGGTAATGCTGGAAATTTCTTCTAAATTCTTGTGATATAAACAAGCCAATCTTCCACCAACCAAGCTTGTGCCAGTTGGACTGTTTAATCAGGTCAAACAATAAATTCCATTACTGTGTTTCCTTTTTCTTTTTACCTGCACTTCTTTATTTGCATGAATGTCCCTGGTACTTTTCTTTATAAATCCCCTTACAACTATATAATTCTCATGCAGCAAGTCCAAATATGCCATCTTTCAGAGACGTGGTATTTTAAAATTCTTGTTTTGCTAGTGTGCGTGTCAAGTTTTCATCCAATTCTTTAAAAGAAAATTGAACTTAAAGCTGCTCAATTTCTGGAAAAGTGACTGCAAAAATATTTGTATAGCCAACTCATCCTTTCTGAAGAAGTATGCCTTTTAGGATTTTACCTTTAGAGCTGTTCAGCAGATATAAAATTATTTCTTGGCATAACCTGCACTGTTGCCTTGAGATAAATGGAGGTCAATTCTGTTTAAAGCAACAAGCTTACCCCTGAACGATTTGACCTAATTTGTATTTGCCTTGTGTGTAACCCCTAGTTGATTTTGAGGAAATTGGAATAGAGGCATGGTAAACTCAAACAAACAACTAGGAAAAGACTCCAAATGCAACAAAAATGTGGGTATAAAATAATTCATAAAGCTGAAAGGTTATGTACCCAGGGTATATTTTTCTATAAAATATGATTAAACTAATACTTTGTGGACTGACTGTTCTGTCTATCTAAGCTTAAGCTTCATTATATGAAAGACATTATAGCTACAGAGCGATTTTCCCTAAGTTTGTACAAATGTCTGTCTGTCAGTTTAAGTTATATCAAAAACCCCCAGATACCAGAGTGATAAGTACCTTTAGAATTTTGTGCAGTAATATTTATAGTTATGGCTGTGTGGAGGAAGCCACCATTGCTGGAATCTCCAGAGCAGGCGCCAAAAACAAATCGTTAATTCTCAGCAGGATTTTAAATCAGACACAACATGGAGCAAGAAAGGGGCACAAAACTGGGGTGTTTCCTTAGCCAACATAAGCAGAGATCATGAAAGCAGTTCCAGGGGGTGAAAAGTATGGTGAAGTACTTGACAAAAACTGCAGTCCTTGGAGCGCTAACATCAGAGTGGTCTCACTGACTTCTGCAAGACTGTGTCTTAGAGGCAGCCTGAGGAGCATTGCTTCAGCCACACATGGAAACAGAATCATGCATGAAATGGAATTGACTGATAAAACAGAACATGCCCTTATGGGCAGAGCACTTAATATAGACTTCCATGCTAAATAAATATAGTAGTGTGCCTGACATCGCACAAATAGGGACATATTTGAGCTGCAACAAAGCATCTGGGGTGTTTCCAGGTTTTAACTGTATTTGTATTAGATTTATTTGTGTGAGCTGTCCCAAGGCTATATAGCAAGGGGATGGCATACAAAAACTTTAAATAAATAATAATAAATAATAATTTTACCACTTCCTGAACCTACCCAATCAACCCAGCTCTGCTAGATTGCCCAAGCCAAGAGGGCACACCAGTGAATGGCACCAGTTGAGGGATTATTTTGTTCTTTTTAAGACCTTGAGGTGGAACCAAATTTGAAGGTTAAGGAGTAGCCCCGCCCTTCTCATGATGTGCTCTGCATATAAGTTAAATAGGCAGGGTGACAGTATACAGCCTTGCTGTACTCCTTTCCCAATTTTGAACCCATCAGTGGTTTCGTGTCCAGTTCTCACTGTTGCTTCTTGACCTGCATACAGGTTTCTCAGGAGACAAATAAGATGGTCTGGTACTCCCATCTCTTTAAAAATTGCCACAATTTGTTGTGATCCACACATTCAAAGGCTTTAGCATAGTCAATGAAGCAGATGTTTTTCTGGAACTCCTTAGCTTTCTCCATGATCCAGCATATGTTGGCAATTTGATCTCTAATTCCTCTGCCTCTTCGGAATTCTGCCTGTACTTCTGGTAGTTCTCGGTCCACATACTGCTGGAGTCTGCCTTGCAGGATTTTGCAAGCATATGAAATGAGTGTAATAGTGCAGTAGTTTGAACATTCTTTGGCATTGCCCTTCTTTGGGATCGGAATGTAAGCTGACCTTTTCCAATCCTGTGGCCACTGTTGAGTTTTCCAAATTTGCTGGCATATTGAGTGTAGCACTTCTACTGCATCGCCTTTTAAGATTTTGAATAGCTCAGCTGGAATACTGTCATCTCCACTAGCTTTGTTGTTGCTCAGACTTCCTAAGGCCCATTTCACACTCCAGGATGTCAGGCTGGAGGTGAGTGACCACCCCATCGTGCTTATCAGGGACATTAAGCTCTTTCTTGTATAGTTCCTCTGTGTAATCTTGCCACCTCTTCTTAATCTCTTCTGCCTCTCTTAGGTCCCTGCCATTTTGGTCCTTTATCATGCCCATCTTTGCATGAAACATTCCCTTCATATCTCCAATTTTCTTGAAGATATATCTGGTCCTCCCTATTCTATTGTTTTCTTCTATTTCTTTGCACTGTTCATTTAAGAAGGCATTCTTATCTCTTCTAGCTATTCTCTGGAATTCTGCATTCAATTGGGTGTATCTTTCACTTTCTGCCTTGCCTTTCGCTTCCCTTCCTTCCTCAGCTATTTGTAAAGCTTCTTCAGGCAGCAATTTTGCTTTCTTGCATCTCTTTTTCTTTGGGATGGTTTTAGTTGCTACCTCTTGTACAATGTTGCAAACCTCCGTCCATAGTTCTTCAGGCACTCTGTCTATCAGATCTAATTCCTTAAATCTATTTGTCACTTCTACTGTATATTAATCAGGGATATGATTTAGGTCATACCTGAGTGGCCTACTGCTTTTCCCTACTTTCTTCAATTTAAGCTTAAATTTTGCAACCAGAAGCTCATGATCTGAGCCATGGTCAGTTCCTGGTCTTGTTTTTACTGACTGTATAGAGCTTCTCCATCTTTGGCTGCAGAGCACATAGTCAATCTGATTTCTGTGTTGACCATCTGATGATGTTCATGTGTAGAGTCGTCTCTTGGGTTGTTGGAAAAGAGTGTTTGCTATGACCATCGTATTCTCTTGACAAAATTCTGCCAGCCTTTGCCCTGCTTCATTTTGTACTCCCAAGGCCAAACTTGCCTGGTATTCAGGTTATCTTTTGGCTTCCTACTTCAGCATTCCAATCCCCCATAATGATAAGGACATCATTTTTTGGTGTTACGTAATGCTAGACGGTGTTGTAGGCCTTCATAGAACCGGTCAACTTCAGCCTCTTCAGGACCAGTGGTTGGGGCATAGACTTGGACAACTGTGATGTTGAATGGTTTGCCTTGGATTCGAACTGAGATCATTCTGTCATTTTGGAGATTGTATCCCAGTACTGCTTTTCCTACTCTTTTATTGACTATGAAGGCTACTCCATTTCTTCTGAGGGATTCTTGCCCGCAGTAGTATACCTGATGGTCAACTGAATTAAATTCACCCATTCCTGTCCATTTTAGTTCACTGATTCCTAAGGTATCGATGTTCAGTCTTGTCATCTCTTGTTTGACCACATCCAGCTTGCTTTGATTCATAGATCTTACATTCCAGGTTCCTATGGAGTATAGATCTTTACAGCATTGGACTCTCCTTTCACCACCAGATACATCTGCAACTGAGTGTCCTTTCGGCTTTGACCCAGTCACTTCATTCCTTCTGGTGCTACTAGTACTAGCCCTCTGCTCTTCCCCAGTAGCATATTGGACACCTTCCGACATGAGGGGCTCATCTTGCGGCATCATATCTTTTTGTCTTTTGGTACTGTCCATGGGGTTTTCATGGCAAAGATACTGGAGTGGGTTGCCATTTCCTTCTCCAGTGGATCACGTTTTGTCAGAGCTCTCTGCTATGACCTGTCCATCTTGGGTGCCCCTGCATGGCATAGCTCATACCTTCATTGAGCTATACAAGCCCCTTCGCCACAACAAGGCAGTGATCCATGAAGGGGAATGGCAAGTATAGATTCTAGCTAATGTGTCTTTATTCTGTACTCATCAGTAACCTAAGCAGTTTTACCATCTCTGCCTTTTGTTATGGTCTTTCTGCCAGACAGTTTGGCAGACACCTAAACAGTTGCTTTAGCTTCTAAAAAGCTTGTGGGTGAATCCAACTGGAGAAGCAGAAGGCAAGGACAGATGCCAAACCTTTCCTGCACCCACCACTTCTTCCCTAATCTTCCATTCTCCAGCCACATTTCTTCCAGCCAGGACAAACATATAATTTTAATTCCAGCTGGAGAAGGGTGGCTTAGAAGGGAGTGCAGGGGGGAAACGGCAAACAGGTGAAGGGTTAAGCATTATAGATGTGCTGAACTTTATAATTTTTTAATTCAGGATGTAAAGTTTGACATTTTGCATTGCTCACCTCTGAGAATTAATTGAGCATTCCAGCCCTCTTCTTGTCTAAATTAGATTAATCCAAGCAGGAGGCATATTTTTCTCCTTCCTACAACACACCTACTTGCTCACCTCAGTCTTTGTCCCTCTCCCTTCCACCTATGACTGTTGTTTCATTTCAGAGTCTAAGAGCTTTTCTACAGAAGGCATGGATTGTGTGCTCATCATTCCCTATCCATGGCCATTTATGGCCCTTCAGATGAAGTGGTGACTCTCTAGTTTAATTTATGTTTTTAAACAGAACTTTTGACAAGTTTTTTTCATGGAATATGCATTATTTATGAAAATGAAAGAAAAACCTTTCTCTGCTTATATACTTGTGCTATTCTGCTATAGCTCAGCATCACATAGAGGTTATATAGTGGAAGAACAATAATAAAGACATTCTTCAAGTAGTGCTCAGTTCTCATCTTAAAGTAAATACAGTAGATTAACAGCCATGTGTAGAAAAGCTCTAAACTGCAAAATTTTGCAGTCAATTCACAGGGAAGGGAACATAACCTCTTATAGTTGAAAGCTTACTTTGAAGAAAGCAGTGAGTTCACATGTGCATGAAGACTGAAACATCCCAATAATTATTCCCATGTGTGGAACAACCACTACAGATCAAACACAGAGACCATAATGAATCACATTGCTTCAAGCACAGTACCTGTAAATGGGGGCACTTTTCAGATCAGAGGTGGGTGATTCATAAATACATATGTATCCTTTACTGCCTCACCATATGATAACTTAAACAGGTCGTACTTTGGCATATAACTTGGACTGTTGTTGAAGGATTTAGTTGGTTAGTGGTGTCTGTTTGTTGTTCTGCAGTGTTTAATTAAGTCCTGGATTTTGTTAGCCAACTTGAGTACCATTTTCTGGTGCAAAGGCAGGCTAGGGGGAGGAAAAACTAGGCTCAGAATTCAAACTGCATCTACATGGCCTAAAAGAACTTCTAACAATGTATTATCATTTATCTGTAGATGCTGATGAATGTCAACTTTTTGGCCAAGAAATATGTAAGAATGGCTTCTGTTTAAACACACAGCCCGGCTATGAGTGTTACTGCAAACAAGGCACATACTATGACCCTATAAAACTCCAGTGCTTTGGTAAGTATGAAAATTATTCTGCTTACTCTTTGAATTGCCAACCAGAACTGGGAAAAGAGAACAGATTAAGAGTCTGATGCTTGCCAACTCCAGTGAATAATTCAAACACGCAAGCTGGCTGCTTGTTTTCTCTATACGATCTTTCCAAATTATGCCTGATTACTTGGAAAAGCAATGTGAAAAATACATGGGCTTGCAGCAATTACCTTGATTACAATGGCTGGAAAGAATTTGTGAGTGCAAGAACTGTTGCTGGCTCCTTCTGAGCACATCAGTGTACCATTCACGTCACACTAATATTTCTTCTTGTTGATATTGCACCTTCAATATGTGCACAGTACAAGAGGATTGGTCTCTGGCCCAAGTAAAATTCAACAAAGGGGAAGCAATGGAGAGGGAAGTGAAGGAAGGAGTAAACAGAGAAAATAGTGTGTATTTTTTCACACATAATCCCTATCTGGGGCTTAAGCACACACAAATTGTGTAAAGAGCAGGGGAAATATACTTCCTTTGCAGTGTTACTCAATGGAGCTTTTCTGGGTGGTCAGGGACCAGCTGCAGTCTGATCCAGAGGAGAAAGAGCAGCCTGGAACACAGTTGCATACTAGTTTGAAGATAAAGCCACTCATATCTTTCACAGTTCAGGCTCCATAGTTAGTACAATTGTGGAGGGGACCAGAACTCCATCCAGTCTAGTCATTTTGAAACCTGAGAATGTGGACGGGTATTTGAACATATTGGTCCAACCACTTGTATCTTTGACCCTAGTCTTTCTTGGCTTATTACATCTAGAAGAGAGGGGATGACCAGCAGGGTCCAGAAAGTTGTAAATTTGTCTTTGAGAAAGAGGAGATGCCAGTAAGGAGCATTCATCAGGCCACTCCTCAAGAAACCTAACTTAGATCCAGAAAATTGAAGCAATTACATGCTAGTTGCTAACATCCCTTTTCTGGGCAAGGAGTTCAAGCATTTTGTGATTACTTCTATCCTGTCTTGGATATAACTGATTTTCTAGATATATTCAGGCCTGGATTAAGAATGGAAACTGCCTTGGTTGCCCTGTGGGATTACCTGTGGCAGAAGAGAGATGGGAATTGTGACCCTGTTGGTTTTTTCAGACTCCTCAGTGGCTTTAAATACATCAGCCATTGTATCCTTCAGGATAGACTGCCTCAGTCAGGATTTGGGGGCACTATCACAGTGTTTCTACTCCTATTTGGATGGCTGACACCAGAAGGCAGTGTTGGGAAATTACTGGTCTGCTCCAAAGGAGACAGAAATAATCATGGGTTCATTGTCCAGTTAAGGGGCATTCAGAGAAGAGAGGATTACATTACCCCTAGCATCAGACTCATAGTTTGGGGGTGCTCTTAGATCAGTCATTCTCTCTGGGGGATATTTGGCATTGGATTTGACCTCAGAGAGCCTTTTATTAGCTTCTATACTAGCTGCAACCCTACCTGGACAGAGATAGCCTTGTGACCGTTGTTCAGTCTCTGGTAACCTACTGTTTAGATGATTGCAATGCTTTACACATGGCGCTGCCTTTGAAAACAGTGCAGAAACTTCAGTTATTACAAAATAGGAGGCTAGAATACTGAGATTGTATTATGTACATACATCTCCATCTGTACTGGCTGCCAGTACCAGCCCCAATTTACAGTGCTGCTTCTCACTTTTAAAACACTAAATGGTTTGATGAAAAACATCTCTTATATTTACCTACCCATACATTAAGATCATTACCTGAGGCCTTCCTCCAGGTGTCCCTACCAAATGAGGCAAGGTAACTGCTGTAAGAGAGAGGGCCTTTTCATTGGTCATATCCCATTTATGGAAATAAAAATAGGAGAGACACTACGGTTCACTCATTTGCACTCTGTACACAAACACATTTCATTAATCCTACTTGAAATAACAACAGTTTCAAGCTGTTTGCATTCCATTTCCTCCTTGTAAGCTTCCAAAGAAGCCTAATTGACCACTGTGAGAAACAGGACACTAAACTAAATAGGACTTTGGTCTGATCCAAGATAAAGGCTCTTTGGACTTTCTTATTTATTTTTTATTTACAAAATTTCATCCTAATCAGAATTCCTGAGCAAAGAAGAATAAAACAAAATATCAAATTAAGGATGAAGTCCTGTGACTTTGCAACATTGTCTGACAGCTTCCCCCTTCCCCTACCCTGCCCCAATCATAATTGGGTCCCAGAGGAAGACAGAAGGGGCATACTGGATAAGGGGGAGGAAGCTGAGTCCACTGATACTAATTGCTTCTTTTCTTCCTCAGCACTAAATCTAGATGGCTGAAAACAGGCATCTAGAGAACACCTGGCCTGAGGTGTATCACAGATCTATACCCCTGTGCCTGATACTGGCCATAGAGTGCATGGAAACCCCTGGGTTCAGAGGCTTCTATGCATCTGCAATGAGGGCAATAGGATTGCACCTTTATAACAAATCAGAATGAAATACCAAATTAAAGCATTTAAAACCAAATTGTAACAATCAAATAATGGCTGGTCAATCAGAGAAGACTTGCTTAAATTTTAAAAAAAATTCAGCAGGCACCAAAACCAAAGCAATGTCTGTGCCTCCCTGATATGAATCTGAAGACTCTACCCTGAGTTGAACCTTAGGTCTGTGCAGAACCCTCAAGAGCATAGTTATGACAAGTACATTTTGGCAAGCGTGCCAAGAAGTTGTAACTGTCACAATTTGAAGTAGGATGCCATTTGTTTAGGGATTCAGCTTATCACTAGTTTCTGGCTGGTTATGTATTTATTATTCTACCAAACCCCGAATGTCCCTGGAAGAGCCGTGCACAGGCTCGCTCTTTATTTATGAGTACATTATTGGGCTCATCTCTGGTTGATACATTTTTCCATTTGTAAAAATTCCATTTGAGGAAATGGGCATTTTAAATTTTCTCTCTAACTCACTGTCTGTCTGTCTGTCTCTCTCTCTCTCTCTCTCTCTCTCTCTCTCTCTCTCTCTCTCTCTCTCGCTCTCTTTCACACACACTCAGGGCTGATATGCAGTATGGAATAGCAATTTCACAGTCTTGATTATCATAAAATGTCCCGCTAGTCTACCGAACTGTCTACTTACTCACTTTTTGCCATTTGACTGAAAATTATTCCTAGTCACAGCCTTGACTTTTTCCAGCTTAAACAGAAAACCATTCTATATGGAATAACATAATGAAAGGAAACCACAGCAGGAGAGTTAATCATCTTGGATTCAAGTAACTTTCCTTTCCTGATGTAAAGTCACTTATTTCCTTAAAGTTGCACTGTTGCTTCTGAGATAGAGTTGAAAAATAGTCAGTTTGTTTCTGCTTTTTGTGAAGGTCAGGTAACTTTTGGTCTAGTATTATTTGGATTGCCCAGTGAAAGAATGCACGTGCCCATTTCTCCAAAGCCTGCTTGCCAATAAATCAGGAATCTGTAGAGACCAATCTAGACATAATACTGTGGCATTCAGCAATTTTCTGGTCTTGTGTGAAGGCATCCGACTGTGTATTCCTTTTTGTTGATGCATGTGGAGAAGGAAGGCATTAACTGTTGAATAGTTCCTTCTTTTAGGCACATGTAGAAACATACCTTTGATCATCCAGATTTAGATATGAACTAATTAAAAAGAAAGTGCACAACAGAATGGGCCCTTTTTGCCAGTGCAAATACATCATGTAGGATAACATGTGGGAACTGGTATCTGTTTGATTTTTTTTTCATTTGCTTTTGAACAGATACAGATGAATGTCAGGACCCCAACAGCTGCATAGATGGCCTTTGTATCAACACTGAAGGATCTTACAGTTGTTTCTGCACCCACCCAATGGTTCTAGATTCTACAGAAAAGCGCTGCATTAGACCAGCTGAATCTAGTGGTATGCCTTACTACATGCATTACTGCACTCAAGAGTTTCAAAAGCAACTGTATGCTCCCTAGCAACTCTCAAGTTCTTTTCACTTCTTTCTAAGAGTATCTTGGGTCATAATCATCATGCTTTGCTGTTTTGCCCCTAATTCAGTTTAGTGGCTCTGGGGCTAGCATAGATCTGTCAGGGATGGGGTGAGGAGGAGGAGTGCTGGACAGGTCCTTCTCTGTTCTTGAAGGCAAACAGTGCATGTTTTACAAATTTTCAGCATGGGCCATTGTGGTAGGAATCTGTAACTCCACACTGATGTGGTTTCCAGTGCTGATGCAGTTTAATCGCACAAGTTCTCGAATTTACATTTACTTTTTCTGCAGCACACAGTGCCAATTATTGTGGTATAGACTTGGTATTAATCCTGTATTTGAGTTACTTTTCTTCCGAAACCTCATTAAGTGTAGTATATGTACATGAACTCTTATGATATGAATGTAACACCATCAACTACTATGGCGACATTTGTCCCACTCTGTCATGTTAGAGGGACAATGTCAGTATGAACCTTACCTTGATGAATGCCCCCCCTTTCTTTTTAGATTTATTATTAGCACATGCACTGGTTTGTATGTGTGTTTCAAGGAGTAAATAGAAATCGAAGGTGTTCCTGCCATTGTAGATAATGCAAGATGCCCAGCTGCCGCAGGTGGAGCTCATGCCGTGGCTCTTCTCATAGCAGCATCAGCTGCGTTAACACTGACATGAGGACCAGGCTCCTCTGCTGCTGGGATAACACGAGCATTCAGCAAAAAGCATCTGGAATCAGCCAGAACAGGACTTAGGGCAGAATACAACAGTCTTTCCAAGCCTGGTGCTATCCAGATGTTTCATGAAACTCTATCACCCCCAGCCAGCATGGGTAATAGTCAGAATATTGAGAATTGTAGTCCAAAACTTTTGGAAGGCAGCAGGTTGTACATGGATGGAATAGAGTGCTGCTTCAAGAAGGCTGCTGTTTGATAAACACTAAATAACTTGTGAATGTATTGGTTTTCTTTATCAATAGTTTTGCACAATATTGGAAATTTTATTTATTTTCAGGAAAGTAAGATTCAAAGTCCCTTGTAGTTTGTGTTGCATTGATTTATTTTATTTTTTAATAATTGTGAGAATGGTGTGCTGATCACATGTCTTTTGTTGTACTGATCGCTTCAGAACAAACTGAAGAAGAAACAGATCTTCATCAGGATCTTTGCTGGCAACATCTGAGCGATGGTGTTGTTTGCAGCCGGCCTCTTGTTGGAAAGCAAACTACTTACACTGAGTGCTGCTGTTTATACGGCGAAGCTTGGGGCATGGAGTGTGCACTGTGCCCAATGAAGGACTCAGGTAAGGCTTCTTCTTTGGACTTCAGGAATATTTCATTAGCAATCTTTCTGCAATTCAAAACTGTATCTAGAACAAATATAGTTGGTTTGTCATTACAGCTCAGGTCACAAGAAAGTTTGAAGGTCCTGAGATTAAATCATACATTATGCTAATGATATAGTCTTTCCAGTTGCTAATGTGAAAATCTGATTTTCTTGTATCTGCTCCAAATACTGAGGGACAAGCTACACACTATGTTACTTCCATAAGGTGAAATTGAGAACATTTTTTTTTTTACTTTTAAGACTATGGTAAGTGCACATGGCCCTGATTTAGACTGGGACAGTCACTGTCTGAGAAGGAAGAATTAACCTTTCCTCACCACCACCACCACATCCATCATCCTCCAAATCTCTCCCAGCTCAGCATGGAAGTTAAAGAAAAATGGTCTCCATTGTCAGTGCAGGCTTTCCCCACACTTTAACTCCTAGAAATGGGGGAGGGGTGGAGGAATTTCAGTGAGGGAAGGGGACAATCTTCCTCTCCAAGTAGATGGTGCTCTACATTCAAATTGGGGTTGTGCATACTTAACTCTAGAGTTAAGTTTATATTCAGCTGCATGCTGTGTACTTAACACGTTGGGCTGGTTTGAATAGACAAAATAAGCCATTGTGATGCACGCTGGGAATTTCCAGAATATTACTGCCTGGGTGTGGCTTTTCATGTCAACCAAATGTAAGTAATTCCTTGCAAATTATTCTTTTACAATTAAATATATCCATGGACTCACTGAAACTGCAAATGTATATTGATTTGATTACCTATTTTCTCTGAGTGAAAAATACATTTTATGACTTCTGTGTGTCTGGTGAGGGTGGGGTGGTGGAGATTAATGGTAGAACAGGGGCACTCAGTGTTTTTCTTCACAGCAACACTATTGAATATCTACAGAATGCCCTGAAGATGTACTGCTCTGCAACACATTATATACTCACACATTTACTTTCTCCCTTTAATTTTCTCACTCAGTCATGCTTGTGAAATTTGCTAAAACTATGACAGAAAGCTCTGGCTATTGAGTGAAACGTATGTCAGTCAGTCAAAAAGCTGAGCAGAATGTAGAACTGAGGTAGGCATCCTGGTGCCCATGGATGTTTAGTTCTACAATTCCCATGAACCCTGGACATATGGATGGGTGATGGGAGTTGTAGTCTAAGACATCTGGAGGGCACCAAGTTACCTATCCCAATTTAGAGAGTTCTAGACATCTGCATTTATTTAACAACATGAAGTGAGTTTCTCTCTACCTGATCCAGCAAGCCATGTTTCAGATTCCACTATATTTTGCCAGGGTGGCCCAGTTATAAAAGAAACACATGATGTCTAGAAAAATATGATGTGCACATGGCTTTTGGGTTTAATATTGGGACTGCTTAGATTTCCAGGAGCACTGCTTAGATTTCCAGGAGTCATAATAAAACTTTAGTTCATACTTAAGTTTTCTGTTGGAAAAAATGTCTTCATGGCCTCCTATGAGTTTTACATTTTGGATTGATCACTTAGATTCTATTGTTTAAAATGAGCTGCAAACTGCATTTGCCAACTACCACATCATAGCATTTAAAATCATGCCAAGATGAGTTTGTTTGCTGCAAGGCATATTGCTAGAGACAGCACATTCAAATCGATGTACTAATTATGAACTGTGAAAAAGGTGATTTATTATTAGGTATGTGTGAGGATTCCATTTTGGGCAGAAAAGCCACCAGATTCCCTGGTTTTGGCATCCTTGACTCCAGACTGCTTTGCAGAGTCTGAGTTTCTGGTGAGTCCACCCAGGGTTTATGGGGCACTTGCCAGAAATCGAGGCCCATGCACTGTGTGGGCAGCACCATTCCAGTGTGCTAAATTCAAGAGGGGAAGAAGGTTGGCTGACAGGAATGGCTGCTGGGCAAGCTTGTAGATTGTGCAGTCAAGGGTTTGTGAGTGTTTGCAGACTTCTTAGCTTAGCTCACTTTGCAGGACTGGGGCCCAGCAGAACAGGTGGTCCATGGATTCTGGAGGGACCCTATTTATTACTTTACTGTCCAGTAGGTGAAGCTGTGTGAGCATTCAGAAAACAAAACTAAAACCACATAACAACATAAAATAATACAATATAATTTTAAAACCCTTAAGTTTAAAACAGAATGAGAAGAAAACAGAGTAAAAGCCAACAGAAGGACAAGGCGAAAGAAACATGGACCTGGTTGGCATGACACAGGTCAAGGTGGCATGACTCACCTTGCATTGTTGGGACATCGAAACCTAGCACAATTTCCTGGCAGCATTTTCCATGAACAAGCCAGTCTAAGAACCCATGGCTTGTTGTTCGGTCATTCAGCGGGTTTTGTTTTCAGAGTGGGTTAACAGGATTTCCAAACCCCAAAGGGTAACTTCATGGTTTGTCAGGAATGGCTAGGGAGTTTCCTAGAAAAAATAGCAAAAAAATAAGAACAGCAAAATCTTGACTACAAAAAGAATTTTTAAAATGGGCAGTGAACCAGGCACAGCCACTTTAACATGCCAATAAGGCACTTTGTCACTGCCTGTTAATTCAGAGACTATAAAAAGCAAACTTCAGAAAGAGGGGAAAACATGTGGTAGCCACAAAGGGGACGGCAAACAGGCAGTGAGGACAAGACAGATCCTGCTGTGGAGTCCCCTAAGCTAACTGGGACAAAGCACAGTGAGCCTAATTGTCTGCATGGTGCCCATAGCATATTTGAAAGGTGGGTTGCCATGTTGTGTGAGCTCACCCATTGTCTTCAAAACTAGTTCTTTTATCGTGTAAGCAAATAATTATATCTCTACTTTTTACTGTCTAGTTTTTATACCAGTGGACTTTGACCAATTGGTGCAATCTCAGTTATGATTTTGGTGGATTACCTGGCAATGTTCATATTTTGATCTCTGACTGTAAAATAGAAATGGTAATATCTTCTCTTGCTGAATCCATCAGAAGATAAGTGAGGCAAAATACATGAAGCACTATTAAACAATTATGTTTCACATACTCTGTTGCACTATTTCCCCTACTCCCAGTCTAATGGCTTCCATCCTGCATATTAGTGTCCTGCACCTTGTGCAGAATCTATAAAACGATTCACAGGCTTTCTTCTGGCTGGAACTTCTTGCAGCATCTAAGTCACAGTAAACTTAGGGGATGTTTTACAGGCACTAGACCACCTAATTCCTAAGCACCTATATATGTCTGGTATTTAACAGGCATTGGGTGTCTGTTTTAAGGAATGATATATGGCCCCTAGTGTGCTAAGTCTCTGGTATGTAAGGTAATGAGATCACATTTACGTGCACCTCAAAAGTACATGCACCTCAAAAATAATATGTAGTGTTTCTTTATATTTTAATACAGAGAGAACAGTTTTCCCCACTTTTAAATTATGAAGCACAAGTTGATCCCAGGCAATTAATACTTTTGTTTTATTTTTAGTCACCTGATGTTGTTTTCCCTGTATAATTTAGAAAGCAGTAATGAGAAGGCTTATCAGGTAATCAGCTTATGTTCCAACATCTATACCTTAAAACCATTTGCCATTTTGAGAACCTTTTCCCAAGAAAAACAAAGCTGAATTATGAAAGAATCATTTGCCCTGTCTTCAGGGTTTAGTGTTTAAAGTGATGTTGTTGGCTCAAAAGGAAACTTTCGCACTTCTCAAGAAGAAGGCCATAGGTTCAAGTCCTGTCTGGGGAAACTGGAATTGCTTCGTATTAGAATTTTAGATATATGTATTGACTGGGCCTGGTTTACTACTGGAACTTTGGTTACAGAAATAGGAAAAGCAGAATATTTAGATAATGATACAGTCTGTGCCTTTAGCAACACATTTCTGCTTTTACCAGACTGTTTTGTTTCTACGATAGCCAGTTTATTTTTAAATCAAAACTTTATTTTGCTTGGAAATCTAAATGATGCACATAAAAGAAAACCTTGGGCTTTTGGACAAAGTTACTGTTGTCTGTTTCTTCCAAAGCTAGCATTAAAATTAATCCCCTACTTTTGAAGCTAACCTAAAAACTTTGCTTTTTTTCTGGGCTGCCTGCAAGAATTGAAACATATAAATTCACTGGTTCAGACAGCACAATAATAGACACTCATGGACTGAGTATGGATTGTGTGTGTGTTGTTGTTGAAAGGTGAGTTGTTGCTTAAGTGTGGGTTAAGGTGTTGCCTGAATCCTGGCAAGATAATAAACAAGCCATGGCTTGTTAACAAAGCTGGGTTCTGATAACATGATAACCCAAATTTCATCAGCAACCCATGATTAAATATGGGTTATCATGTTGTCTGAACCCAGTCGATGATTTAACTCAAATATTCTTCCAAACCATGATTTGAACTGTGGATTGAAATAAGCCATAGGCTTGCCCATTCCTCCTTCCTCCCTGTTTGAGAGTGGCTTTTCATTTTTCCTTTTAGTGATGACCATAGTTTGCTGTGACATCTTATCCTGTGATTAGCAGTTGCCTTCTAAAACCCGAATAAAAACAGTGTTTCAAAGTGTCTATCAGATGAGGGGTTTGGATGGCGAACACAGTTTGTTGATCGATTAGTGCTTACCAGGAGACTTAAACAGAAGCAGTGAAAATTTTCTGCATTTGTGTGCTCTCAGTCAGGATGTTTCAGAGACACTGGATAAAAGAAGTAAAGATGCCAATAAATATTATCAAATCTTATCAGGATGATTGATGCCTATGGGATTGACTAGTAGGTAAGCACACCAGTTATCACAAAAGTCAGGAGGGGGATGCTTCTACTTCACAATAAGATCAAATGCACTTTCACATCAAGAGAATGTGAGAAGTAAAAAGATTGTTCAAGATTTGCATGTGAATGCATCTTAAGATGTGCTCTGGTAGTGTATAAATATGTAGGATGGGAACTGCCCACTGACACTCAAGATGCCGCCTTAGCAGAAACACCGATAGAACACACACAGTGTGAGATTTCAGGCGCAAAC